TTTGCTCTGTAGGCAAACTGCAGGGGGTCCAGAGATTCAGGGAGGGAGGAGGTGATGAATGATTTGACTAACCGCTCAAAGCACTTCATTACGGTGGAGGTGAGTGCTACTGGGCGGTAGTCGTTGGGGCAGGTGATGATTGTCTTTTTCGGGACAGGAACGATAGTGGAATGTTTGAAGCATGTGGGGACTACAGACTGCAGCAGGGACCTGTTGAAGATGTCTGTGAACACCTCTGCCAGCTGAACTGCACACACCCTGAGAACACGGCCAGGGATGCCGTCAGGTCCAGGAGCCTTGTGTGGGTTAACCCTTTTAAAGGATTGACACACATCTACCCTGTTTAAAACAAAAGGGCAGTGTAGCTCCTGGTCCATCTGTACCTCCACAGCCTGGCTGCTCTCAAAGCGTGCAAAAAAGCTGTTCAGCTCATCTGGGAGAGATGCGCACGCAGACACTCCCGCAGCACCCCCCGCTGCTCCTTTGTAGTCAGTCATTGTCCTTAGTCCCCGCCCACATATTCCTAGTGTTACAGCCTTTGAAGTCAGATTCCACCTTCTCTTTGTACTGTCTCTTTGCATTTTGAATTGCTCTCCGGAGATCATACCTAGACTTCCTGTACTCCTCCAAATCCCCCGCTCTGTGCGCGATAGTGCGCGCTTTCAGCTTGCCGCGCACATCGGAGTTTATCCAGGGCTTTTGATTTGGGAATGTCCGTACAGAAACCTTCGGTACCACGTCATCGATGCATTTCCCAATGTAGCAGATGACAGTGTCCGTGTGTGTGTTGATGTTATTGTCCTCAAACACACTCCAATCCGTAGATGCAAAGCAATCCTGCAGTGCTGAATCTGACTCCTCGCTCCATCGCTGTACTGTCCTTGTTACCGGTCTGTCCCTTTTTAGTTTCTGCTTGTACGCAGGCAACAACAGTAGTGAGATATGGTCTGATTTGCCGAAGGGAGGGCGAGGGAGAGCCTTATATCCATTCCGGAAAGGGGAATAAACATGGTCCAATATGTTTCCCCCGCGCGTCGGGCAGTTGATGTGTTGGTAATATTTTGGCAAAACCTTCTTCATGTTGGCGGTGTTGAAATCTCCGGCCACAACGAACGCCGCATCTGGCCGTGAAGTCTCGGTCTTATCAATAATCCCAAACAGCTGATCGAGTGCCGTGTTGTTGTCGGCGAGTGGCTGCGGGGGGACATACACTGCTGTTATCACAACAGATGTGAATTCCCTCGGCAGATGGAAGGCCCGACATGAGATCATGAGGTGCTCTAGATGTGCGGAACAGTCCGATGAAATAATCTTCACATCTGAGCACCAGTTGTTGTTAGTCATTACACACACACCGCCTCCCTTACTTTTCCCCGAGTTAGCAGTCCGGTCCTGACGAAAAATAGAGAATCCATCAGGGACAATGGCGGAGTCCGGGATAGCGGGGTTGAGCCAAGTCTCAGTGAGAATGAACACGTTACAGTTCTTAATGTCCCGTTGAAAAGCAATCCGGCTTCTGAGTTCATCTAGCTTATTTTCAATGGATTGAACATTAGCCAGAAGAATACTCGGAAGAGGGGGCCGATTCTCTCGCTTCCTCAATCTGACCAGCAACCCGGCCCGGCACCCGCGTTTTGTTTTCTTCTTGCGTCTCTCAGGTAGAACAGCAACAGGTAGCCATGGTGAATCTCCATTGTCTGTCGGAGGGTTATTTTTGTCCACGAAGTTTCGCAATTGAAAAAGTTCCTCTCTGCTATATTGTATGGCAGAGTAGGTGCGGTCGGCTAGCATGTTGCGAACCATGTTAAAAGTAAAACGGCAAAAGTAAAATAAATATGTACAAAATACGAAAATGGGCAAAGTTGGAGAGGAGCACAAAGACGATGCGGCCATCTTCACCGGCGCCCAATAGCCCAACATTAGCCTCCTTTAGCTTAGCGGTGGTGACGTGAAGTCATGTGACCGTGCTGTAGTTCCTTTATAGCCCAACATTAGCCTCCTTTAGCTTAGCGGTGGTGACGTGAAGTCATGTGACCGTGCTGTAGTTCCTTTATAGCCCAACATTAGCCGCCTTTAGCTTAGAGGTGGTGACGTGAAGTCATGTGACCGTGCTGTAGTTCCTTTATAGCCCAACATTTTTTACTTCTTAAATCAAGTGGTGATAATATGTGGAAAAATCCCATTGGCTTTTTGTCAAAGGAACCAGAGAGATGCTATCACATTCAAGTGACGATCAAAATGTTTGCTTTAAATCTGTGAATAATCTTAATGGCAGAACACAATGTAATGGTTAGCGTAATGGAGCATAATAGAAAGTGAATAATGTGAATACTTGAGGAGTCTTCTGTGCAGTAGCCTCTGTTTACAGCACAGCGACTTATTAAAGCCATGCATCAGACACAGAGCTGCACTGGGGGGAAATAAAGATGCACAGTCTCTATAGGGGTTGTCTTTACCACACACATGTACATAAAACACACACACACACACACACACACACACTCACACTCACTCTCACACTCATACTCACACTCACACTCACACTCACACTCACACTCACACTCACACTCACACTCACACTCACACTCACACTCACACACACACACACACTCAGTATCACATCCTCCCACTGAATACCTACAAACATGCAGCACGAAGGTGTTTTCTTTTACATTTTAGTTCATGTTTTGCATCTTTTCTGTTGGCCCAGTTTGCTTTTATATAAAACCCTGTTGAATATGATTCTTCTTTATGTGCTCTTTAAACTAACTTTTACTACTGTGAAGTTTTTTTAATCATCTAAGCACATTTACAGACACAAACACACCGCAGTAAGCTAACTTTGTTTTCCCATAAAAAGTAGTAAAATAAATTAAATGTCTACTTTTTTTAGATTAAGTGATTTAATTTTTGTGTAGTTTATAGGAAAACTCACAATTTGTTTTAATCATCTCAGTACTTGTACATTTACAGACAAACAAACTCTGATTAGTGGTTGTTTTTGGGAGTATAATGCTTTTAAACCCCCTTTTTAATTAATATGGATTATAAAAAGAGGTATCAAATGGATTAAAATGTTCTAATGAATAATGTTTCTGCGGAGAGAGACTGTAGTTCAACTCCTTTGTTAATTTAATTAAATGACACACCATTATTATGGTTATTGATTATAAAAAAAGCTGAAAGGACATTTTGAATAACCTTTTATTTCAATGATTTGTCACCATTATTAATGAGTCTGTATTTCTACTCATTTAGTAAAAGCTGTTCATTGTGTCCTCCTCTGTGTCCTCCTCTGTGTCCTCCTCTGTGTCCTCCTCTGTGTCCTCCTCTGTGTCCTCCTCTGTGTCCTTTAGGTTTTATAAAGCAGGGATTTAACGTTGAAGCCTCTGTCTTTCTTTTTCCGTTATAAAAGTCTCACTTCTCCTCACCTGACCGAGTGGCTACCCCGTATTGATCCACACTTCAATAGAGTTCACTCCGATATATTATCTTGATGTTGTTCCGCTCTTATCGCCTCTTTAATAATGCAGAATGGAAGTTAGTGCTCAGGATGGATTCAGAGGAAACCGTGGATGCATTCTAAGAACTGGATACAGCGTCGAAGGCCTCGTTCATTCATGAGAGCTGTTTTTTGGTGCTGATGCACAATTAACCTGACTCTTAAGAGCAAAACGTCACAAATTACCCATCATGCCTTGCTGTCGAGAGCACCTTATGTGCGCTCATAGAGCAGCGCAGTTGAGTTTCCTCTTAAGCCCCGCCTCCTGTCATTAAGCCCCTTTTTAAAAGCAACTTTAAAAACCTAATGATTCAAATAAGGGCTATGGAATTGTTCGTGCTAGGTAGTTTATTTAGTTTTAAAAATAATAATCAGATTTTCAGACGCCTCTTTCACAATGCAAGTCAATGGGGTAAATATTTATCGGCCCAGTTTCGTCACGGACTGATACAGAAGTTGTAGTACCGCCGCGTGGCCACTACAGATATTTGCCTCAGCGTCCGGCACACTTCCTGAGTGCTTCTAGGAAACACTTACTGACGTTCTGATTGCTCCTTGAAACTCAAACACCTTAATTTCATAGAAGTCTGCTTGTGCAAAAACGATGCTGCTGCTCTCCCCTCTATAACAGTTTTTGTAAACAAATTATACATTAAGAGAGTGCTTTGGTGTGTTATTAAAAAAAAAGGGTAAGATCCTCTTTATTTTGCTTTTTGAACAGAAAATAGGAATCTGGGAGGATAGCGAATCTGCACCTTTTAAAAAGAAGTGGATTCACTGTTGGAGTAACCTCTTCTATGAAGTTATATTTGGATGTGTAGATGTACAAGGAAAATCTCCACTATGTTTGACCTATCTATTTTAGTCTTTGCAATGTTACATCTCCCTGGATGGTTGACACTGACTTACAAACAAACACAAATCTCCACTTAGTGTGTTCAATTGGGTGCAGAAATAACCTATTAAAGTCCAAATGAGGCCTTTTTTTAGGCACTGTTTGTTTGAATTACCCTGCACTACTTAAAATATATCTTGAGTCATGATGTGACTGAATGTTAAAGTAGTCCTTTCCTCAAGAAGCTTCTAAGAATAAGGAAGTGACTGGAAGTAAATGTAGATTATCTAAAAAATGTGTCAAATGTCTTGTCTCTATTTATATCTTTCAAACAAAAATATCTTCCATGTTTGAACACAGTCTCTTCGTCCCTCATCCAACAGTATGACATTTTACCCAATATACCAATGAAGAAGACATGCACAACTCTACTTAACATGTCTTTTAGCTGATACTTTTATCAAAATATGCAACAGTGGGAATTTAAACTGTTTCAAGGGGCATGTGTTTTGACTCTGTATAATAAATGATGTATTATGTTAACTCTTGTATTTGTGCCTTTTGTGTTTTGACACAAACTGCAAACATGGCTCAGCTCCATCATCACACAGAATGATTCCTGTGTTCCCGCTGTAATGGATTAAATGTTGATGTGTCCAACAGGGAGAAACGAGACGATGCAGCCGTCCAAGCCGTCCTTCCTCGAGTACTTTGAGCAGAAAGAGAAGGAGGCCAACAGTCACAACGAGGGAGGAGGAAGAGGAGAAAACAACGCAGACAACCGCAAGCTGCCCGCTGACGGAGACTTTGAAGTGGTGAGTCTTGAAGTTAATATTTAGTTCTACGACATAAAATACATCAGTAAATACCCCCACTGGTGAATTAAAAAACGTCGGTTGTTAACACGTGTCTAAATGAGACGACTAAACGGCATGACGCCCAACAGTCATGTGACCGTGCTGTAGTTCCTTTATAGCCCAACATTAGCCACCTTTAGCTTAGCGGTGGTGACGTGAAGTCATGTGACCGTGCTGTAGTTCCTTTATAGCCCAACGTTAGCCACCTTTAGCTTAGGCGGTGGTGACGTGAAGTCATGTGACCGTGCTGTAGTTCCTTTATAGCCCAACATTAGCCACCTTTAGCTTAGCGGTGATGACGTGAAGTCATGTGACCGTGCTGTAGTTCCTTTATAGCCCAACGTTAGCCACCTTTAGCTTAGCGGTGGTGACGTGAAGTCATGTGACCGTGCTGTAGTTCCTTTATAGCCCAACATTAGCCACCTTTAGCTTAGCGGTGGTGACGTGAAGTCATGTGACCGTGCTGTAGTTCCTTTATAGCCCAACGTTAGCCACCTTTAGCTTAGCGGTGGTGACGTGAAGTCATGTGACCGTGCTGTAGTTCCTTTATAGCCCAACATTAGCCACCTTTAGCTTAGCGGTGGTGACGTGAAGTCATGTGACCGTGCTGTAGTTCCTTTATAGCCCAACGTTAGCCACCTTTAGCTTAGCGGTGGTGACGTGAAGTCATGTGACCGTGCTGTAGTTCCTTTATAGCCCAACATTAGCCACCTTTAGCTTAGCGGTGGTGACGTGAAGTCATGTGACCGTGCTGTAGTTCCTTTATAGCTCAACATTAGCCTCCTTTAGCTTAGCGGTGGTGACGTGAAGTCATGTGACCGTGCTGTAGTTCCTTTATAGCCCAACATTAGCCACCTTTAGCTTAGCGGTGGTGACGTGAAGTCATGTGACCGTGCTGTAGTTCCTTTATAGCCCAACGTTAGCCACCTTTAGCTTAGCGGTGGTGACGTGAAGTCATGTGACCATGCTGTAGTTCCTTTATAGCCCAACATTAGCCACCTTTAGCTTAGCGGTGGTGACGTGAAGTCATGTGACCGTGCTGTAGTTCCTTTATAGCGCAACATTAGCCTCCTTTAGCTTAGCGTTGGTGACGTGAAGTCATGTGACCGTGCTGTAGTTCCTTTATAGCCCAACGTTAGCCACAGAGATTATTTTCTGCAATATGCTAAAACACAACGGAAAGGTACCATTGTTTTTAATCGTGAGAACAAAGGAGATGCCACTTCAAGTTCAGCATTCAATAAATCATCATTGCACAACTTTATAGAGAGTGAATGTGCTAACTGGGAAGTACATTACCACTCGTCAGTATACCAAGGTGATGCATTCTGAAGGTATCCACACACTCTTCAGCTGTCTTCCAGAGCCAACAGTCTTCAACACTAGCTCACACACAGAACAACACATACTGAATATTCTTTTGTCCAGCTTTATTCTTCAGCCTAGGATGACTTTAAGCAGATGCTGTTGCACCTTGAATTCAGCCATTGCATTCTTATCTTATTTATTGTCTAAAATAGACATTCAATTCATCAAAGTCAGCGCCCCATATGGCTATCTTCCAGGCTAATGTAGCTGTAACATTTTGCAGAGAGATTACCTTACAACAAACCCTTTTTTCCCCCTGGCAACATTAACACATTAACAGACAGTTATATTTGTGGCTAAAATGTTGTTTTGCCCACAGACGTTTAAGCTGGACAAATGGCTGCAGCTGCTGGTATTAAATATTAAATATGTGACCTTTATAAATACGAGGTGGCCTCTCTCACAGGACCACCCATCTGCTGCTCATCTTCACATGCTCAGAGGCACTGAACACTTCTGTTTCTCCAACAATAAAGCATAATTTCTGGATACTTTTAATCATTAAAGGGAGATAAAAACGGATCTTTCCTGCTCTCCTTAGTGAAGTTGTGTTGTGAAATGTAGAATTGTACGATGGTGTTTCAGCATGTAGTGATTGTCTGAGTATAAAAGAACAAAGTGTGTGTTGGTGTTACACACACACACACACACACACACACACACACACACACACACACACACACACACACACACACACACACATACCCATACCCCTAACACACAGTGACAGCTCACCGCAGGATGACCCTGACACTCACTGGTTCTTTAATACTGCTCTCTGTGGACATGCATACTGTCACACATCAGCATCTTCAATGGGTGTTTTGCACATTGCTGTGAGACACACACACACACACTCTCAGATGACATAATTTATCTCTCTCACACACACACAGACAGACAGACAGACAGACAGTTCTAGTGTGCCTGACGGAGCTAATTTAAACATACACTCATACTATCTTATGAGAAATATGTAGTATTTAATATCCAGGGTGTCCGCGGGGTCTTAAAAAGTATTAAAGGGCATTTTCCAAGGTATTACATGTTGTAGCTTGTTTTCAATAAGTATATAAATGGTCCAAAGAGGTTGTATTCTACAGTTTGCCTGAATGTAATCATTGCGTAGGTGTGTAGTGTGATTCTGTGTAGTTTATTTATGGCATCCCGTTGGATTAGACGTCATCTGAACAGGACATCGCACGCTCACTGCTTGATAGCGTGCGAAGGTCCGTTTACGCCGGTTGTTAAACAACATCGTTATGGGGAAATGCAAGTTTGCGTCCAAATGGTTGGAAGATAAGGAGGAAGGACAATCAATACTGTATATAGTCAATGTGAGGTAAAGTGTGTCGCCAATGTAACCGGTTAAAACTCAAAGTGGCGATGAGGTCTTAAAATGTATGGAAAGGGTCTTAAAAAAAGGTCTTAAAAGGGATTACATCTGACTTCAGGATTCCTGCATATACCCTGATATATTATTATTTACTATTTCAAGCCTGGCTTATAATGACTAAAACAATACCAACCAACACATGATTGTCTATTATATATAATAACATGATATTAATTTTCTTTTTTTAAATACAACAGATTTAGCCGCCATTAATGAGGTTTTAATAAATGTCTTCATAAATCAATCTTCCCACAAAGATCCCACATTGATTAATAATTCAAACCTTTTATGATACAATTAATTAATTAAGAAGTGCTACCCAGTTCTGAGTTTAAATTATTTAACAAATGGCCTAAAAAACAGATAAAAAAAACACAGATTAAGGTGTTCTGGGAGGCTTGTGAATAACATCATTGATTTCTCAGCTTCACATAACTTAACTCATCATGAATCCATATTAAATATATAATCGTCCTTTTGTTGTCTTCGTACAAGTTTGACATCTATTTGGATCGAGTTTAAAAACTAGTTTGAACTTTTAAACCACTTATACTTTGTGTGAAAGGAGCAAACATAAACTGCTGGTCATTAGCACGTAAATCTAGAAATAAATAAAAGGTTTGAATTTAGTTTGAAGTAGGGCTGCTCGATTCTGGCAAAAATCCTAATCACGATTATTTTTGGTCAATATTGATATATCACGATTATTAAATACGATTATTCATTGACTTTGAAAACATCCATTTATTTGAACTTTAAAAAAAAAAATAATAATAATTTGAACAGTATGTTTTTAACAGTTGATTACCCTGAACTTTAAGTATAATTCAACTGAAAAACCAATTAAAAATAATTATACATTTATATTACATTTAAATAAATAATATCAAAATAATAAATACCAATAAAGATCAACAAATGTTTTGGAGCGCACTTCCACAACCTACTAAACATATATAAATATGATAACTGTCCCTCACAACCTGTATTGTTTAATTTAATCTTATTTTGGTAACCCCTTATCCGGAAACCGGAAGTAGCGAAGAGGCTCCGGCTCGACAAGGTTAGTAAAAGTTGACTGTATGCTAGAGAGCATGGAGGACCGGAGAATTTTATTCAACCAGATGAAAACATTGAGACAAAATCTCGTTTACAATGCTGACCTGGCCAAGAAGGCAGCAACGTTACACGTTCTTACACATAACACAGACATAAAAAATACAGAGAACACAACTAAGTAACCAAAAAGCAGTCACTACATTGTGCACATTTGAGACAGTAAGTAAGATACTACTTATTACTGCAAGAGAAGCTGGTGGTGAGGACCTCAGACAACTTCAATTTAAAACAGGCTATAGGGACAAGTGCCGTCAGTTTGAGGCGTGACTGAAGGTCATCCCGAGACCAAGGACCATAATAAGAAATGGTGAGAATAAAGACACGGCAGCTCAAGCTTCCCTTGTAACGTGTTTATATGGATTTATTAAACAGACTGCAAGTCACAACACAACCCGGCCGAGAGGGCTTTTAGGGAGGGGTGAAAGCGCACGCGCGGGCAGGATGTATAACGCAAGACAAATTGAGAGCGTCATTGCGAAAGGGAATGCAGCAAAATAATCGTTTTATTTTGATTACGCAGTTTTCGTAATCGTTGCAAGCCAAAACCGTAATCGAGATGAAAATACGATTTAATTGCACAGCCCTAGTTTGAAGCATTACGAGTAGAAATCAAACCGGATTCACTTGATGACACGCATCCCTCTCGGGGGGATTCATTCTCCCGTTAGACTTGCACATGTGCGGATACATAGCTAATTTCCCGTGGCGTCTTTAACACTTTGAAGCAGCTTGTTGACAGCTTCATGCTGACTCTTTAATTTTAGATCTGAATGCTGAGCTATTTCTGTGTTTGGCTTCCAGATGTTCCTTTAATGTAGTGTGACAAAACATATCCTACTGTTAGCTGATTGAAAACTAGATTTCTGCATCAGCAAGTGGTTTATTTCACTATTTAAGTGTATCTCTCTTATAGCAACCCCACTTCCACTGTACTATAGTTTAAAACCCTCATTTTAAGACACGTTTATATTCACCCGCCTTTTCTAATATTTACCATTGTATCTGTTTCTTGTGCTTCTCCCAGCTCACTGGTGTTATAATGCAGCAGAAAAAGCACTAACCTGCATTATTCATAAGCAGCAGACGTACAACAACAGATCCTCTTAATTGCTCCGTTCTGTCCTTTATTTTTATTCTGTCCTTTATTGGCTTTCTTTTTTCGGTCCGTCCTCTCAGTCCTTGTTTCCGTCCTTCCTGTCATCGGCGGAAATCTCGTCTAACAAAACCCGACAGAAAGTGAAACCCCAGACAGTGGTTGAAACGATTAAATATGAACACTAATGTCTGTAAATGTAGTGCTTCATCTGAATGTAATTCCTGAACTAGGCTGCCCTTATTTAAACCGAGCAGACACAACAGACTAAGTGAAATGCTCGGGGCTCGAAACACTTACATTTTTGTGTTAATTGACACCCGTAATCTGACACCTCACCTCAAAACAAACCACTGAATAAACACATGGTCCAGCCTGTGTATACATGATACAGCATAAATACATTAAGAGTAAATCTGCTCATACTGTGCTGTGTTGTCGCATATATACGCAGCGATAAACACTCTTAAAGCACTAGTTATTACTTTGGCTCGCTCTGGATCTGCAGTGCGAGGCTGTTTTTGTTTATCCAACACATTCTGGTCATAGATTACATGTTTTAAGTGTATCCACAGATATATCCAGCTTCAGTTTGACACAAATTAATGTGCATTGAGCTTGAATACAGCTAAGATACCCAATATATATATATTTTTTATATCCTCATCAACGCCTCGATTGGACTTGTTTACTTCTGAAACAAAGTGACATCACTTGTGCTCTTAAGGGGCCTACACACCAAACTGACACCAAAGAACACGTCCCGACAGACCCGACTGTTGTGTCGCCTCACGTCTCTGCGTCTTGGCCAACAGTCGCACTGGAACACACCGCAAAGACTTCAGCCGACGGCCAAGAAGCACGTACGAACTGCGCATGCGTGAGTGGCAATAACTCTCCTTACCAGCAGGCGGCGGTAGTGTGTATTCGTCATTCAAAAGAGGCAACAACCGGAAGACAGACTGCGTGATAACCGAGAGAAGAAGAACAGACTGCGTGATATAAACAAACAACAAATAGCGTGTGCGTTCCATTTTCACTCTACAGCGAGAAGCTCATGGGGCTTTCCCCAACCTGTGTCGAGAGCTGGAGTTAAATGAAATCTCACATTTGCCTTCTTAATAGTTTGTTTGGGTCCCTCACTTCCGTTTAGCTTCTCATGCACTGATTCGCTAGCTGAACAGCCAATCAGAGTGATTTCTTTGGCCGACGACCTTTGGACGACAGCCTCCCGATTCAACATGTTGAATCGGCGGCAGAAAGTTTCGGCACGGCCGAAAAGACACGACGGGGCGGGACACACCAATCTGAGTAGGGCGACAGGACGCTCATCGACAGCCAAACATCTATCGACGCCGAAATCGGCTTGGTGTGTAAGGACCTTTACAACACATTGTACGTGATAGGCTAAAGGGCGGGACATCTCTAAGGAATTAGTGCTGCTAGCTGCTTTCAGTGCTCAAGAGAGAGGGCAAGAGAGCTGTTGTTATATTATTATTAAAATACTTTTGTTGGCTTCTCATGATGACCAGCTGTAGCTTTATCCGGGCTTAACCAATTAGCATCCTACCAGTAATGAGCTGCCAGAACTATCCAGTTATAACTCGTGCTCCAGAATGTATTCCCCGTTAGAAAGAAGTAAACATAAACATCTGTTCAGGTCACAGGGCGTACCAAAGCTCCTTTACTGGGTAGGCAACTTTGATCAGGGTTTTCTTAGTTTGGAAACGTTTAATATCAATCACACACCTACTTTCTCAAGATTACCAATTACTAAACCTACTAGCTTGTAAAACAGCTGTTGGGTCACTTGGCATATCAAACATTATCTACTGGTTCAATTAAAATCCACGTATCGATACACCTCTTGTAAACTATTAATAATAATTAAGAGATGTTTGTTTTCCTGACTGTGGTTATATCAATCCATCCATATCTCTCAGACGGCTGCTCTTATATCGTTCATAACAGACCTTCTCCCAGAGACCACGCTGGTTTAGTTTTGGTTGAATGGACGTGTGTGATCTGATGTCTTTTTAATAAATCATGTATGAAACCAACATTTTAGGAAAGGTGTTTTTTAGGCTGAGCTTCATTGCAGGGTTTTCCATTGGAGGGGTTTGCAGTTTGCTAAAAATGTGTATTTTATTGTTTCCACACTTAAACCATACACAAACGTAACAAATAACAGATGAAGAACGGTGCAGGAAGAGGCAAAAACCCCCCTGGGATTATTCTTCCTTTGTTTTTAGCTTGTCAAGTTTTAATAGCTTCTACCGTTCTTTGTTTTATGTGATTTTAAAGGGACTAAAAGGTGTACTTTTTGGCGATAGGGTCCTTGAAAGGCTTTAGAAAACTGTGACGAACATTTTTCTCCATTTTCCTCACGTTCTCTCTGCAGGACCTCAGTGTTATTTTACCTCCATTGATTGTGGGTCATAAATAGCAGGAGTGCTGCTGGTAAAAGCTGAGAGGCTGAATCTCCCCGAGGTGTGTGTGTGTGTGTGGGGGGGGGGGGAATAAAACCCATCAGGTCCCTATCAGCTCGGAGTGGAAGAGATTTAGTGTCGATCAGCAGCTGCAGCACTCTGACTGAAATAGAAACACTTATCAGACACCTCGATCATCTCAGGAGTTTTTTGAAGTTCAAAGTGTTTCCTAAGTGTCCGTTAGTGGAGGCTAATGATACCAACAACAAGGAGAGGCTGAGTACACGAAGCAACCTGTCGTTTAGATTTAAGAGGGACTTTTTAAGGTTAACTGAAAAACTTTGAGGTTGTGAATTTGAAAACGTTCTGCTTTTGTAAATTATATTAAATTGGCAAGCAGATATTCAAAGTAGTTATTAGAAAGGTCTTAAATATGATTTCGAAGGTCTTAAAAATGATGGGATTTGAAAGGTTCTTCTGTGTTGCGATCGCGTCTAAATGTGTTTTGGGGGAAATGTCCGGGCTGCAAAGTAACCAGTACGGTGAGAGCCTTTCAGTTCCCCCCAACAATTTGTATTGAAATAAATCAACATGGAACCAGTAATCACTAACTTTGTTTCCCCCGGCCCCTTATCGGAGAACACCCAGCTAGTAACCTAGCAACTAAGCAAGCTTCAGCTAGCGAGAGCACGCTCGTGAACTGTTGCGCCGGTGTTATGAATGCCCGCTGAGATATGCATGCACCTCTTGGGAGCGCACACAGCGTAAAGCAAAAACTCCCAAACTATATCATTTCCTTTTGGGCGGTCATGCATAACACGGCAAACACCAGAGCCTCGCTGCGGGGAAACTTTTGCGCTGTTCCGAGTTTGTTCTAATCTGTCAAAATGACAGACTGCTTTCAGATTTTTCCGTCATTGTTAAATAAAAATCGGTCATAGACGGAAAATATTCAGTTAACGCGACCTCTGCCTCCGGGCGACGTTTGGGTCTACGACACCAATCCTACAACAGCAACAATGAAAGATTGTAGCCAAGGCAGCAGAGCTCAGAAGATAGCTCTTGTCACACACACACACACACACACACACACACACACACACACACACACACACACACACACACACACACACACACACACACACACACACACACAGTTTTTTCCTGGTTTTTGTCTAACACGCTAACACAGTTCTGTGTGCTGTTATGCTCAGTCGTCGTTCTTATGTTGAACGTGAATACATTTACTTTGAAAGTAATAATGGGACGTATTTCTTCTTTCATAGCAATTTTCTTTCATACTTTCTTGCCGTGAAATAGGTCTTAAATTCTATTCAAAGTGGTCTTAAAAAGGTCTTAATAAGTCTTACATTTGAGTTGGTGAAACCTGCAGGAACCCTGACACACACACATTCAGAAAACCAATGACTTTGACTCAAAGGAATCATAAGTGCTGAAATGCTGATTCATTTCCAGTTTTAGGAACTTGGCAATGTTAGCTAATAATCGGCGGTCATCACACTGTGTCATTTCTGTATACATGAAGATGATTTAATGTGTGTGTGTGTGTGTGTGTGTGTGTGTGTGTGTGTGTGTGTGTTCAGGTGAACTCGTGGACGGTGGAGGAGCTGCGGCTGCGTCTGGCCTCTCTGGACCCTCAGATGGAGCAGGAGATCGAGGAGATCCGGCAGCGATATCAGACCAAGAGGCAGCCGATCCTGGACGCCATCGAGGCCAAGAAGCGGCGGCAGCAGAACTTCTGAGGAGGAGGAAGAGGAGGAAGAGTCGGAGGTTTCATCTCTTTATTCTCTGCGGCAGATTTAACAAACGACAGCTGAGGATCGTTCAAAATATCTGCTCAAGAGACGTCAAGATGTGTAAAACTGTGCGAAGACTTCTGATGACCGAACTGCTGGAGAAGAACTTCCAAAGAGCTTTTGGACAGGATATTAATGACAATATTTCTGCCTGTTTGGAGTCTTCAAAAACTTTTTCCTGGATGAATGATTTCAGGAAAGACGCTTCTGAAACGTATATTTTGTCTCCCATCCGCTGGACTCTCTCTCTGTTTGTTACACAGCTGTCTTAAACCACAGTGATGAGTGTTCAAATCTCTTAACGTTTAGTTTTCTACTTAACCGCGCGGTACAATATCATTTAAACGGCTGGCTGCTCGACTAAGGTACTCGTCTTTACGTCCGCAAATGTCTCTTCTCAGTGTTGTTGCTCAGTGTTCTCACTTTAGACTGTGAACGTCTAGAGAAGCGTCTTTCCCTCGTCTTAAAAGAGTTAAAATTACAAAAGAAAAAGCAGAAATACCAACTACAAGTGTTGATGCAGGAAGAGACCGAGCGCTTTGGATCAGTCGTATTGAATGAGTACAAAAAGGAGGAGATAACGAGGAAGTGAAACCCTTACATCTAATTACAAAAGCCCCTTTTCTTAAGTTCAGCGTTGATCTCGTCACCTTATAGTTCAACAAATTCAAGCACAAGATTAAAAGATCAATAAACCATTTATTAAATATTAAAAGCAAAGTGTTATGTTATTGTAAGATGATCTTAACTTAAAGAACTGGATCATTCACTTAGCTAATGGTCCCTTCAGGTAAAGGGAATATTTGGGAAACACCTGGATGTTTTGATATTTTGGAGATCAGATTTTCTTCCGCATTAATATTTTAAGGGTCTTTAATCCCCTCCAGTGTCCTCAGTGTTTCATTTGCATCTCTTTCCCCCGCAGTCAGCTCAAAACAAAGAGCTGGACCCGGATCAACAAAGCTTTTATTTCCTGGATTTATTATTTCTGATTTGGCACTGAAACGACATCGCCCCCCCCCCCCCCCCCCCCACCCCCACCCCTTACAAAAATAAAAAGGCAGCTGCCCTTCCTCCTCTTTGGACGCTCTGTTTTCTACACGCAGCACAGAAACATTTCTATTTTTCTACGTAGGTTTAGTGGTTACAGAAGAGCGGGAGCTTGGTTTGATTTAAACAGATTTAAAAACCAGCTTCTCAGGTCAGAAACTCCTCAGGGTGTAAAATAATAGTCTGTTTATAAATGAGCACAACAGCTGTGTCTGTAAGGTTTAAATCGATGAGTTAAAGGGTTAAATGACAGAAACTGGACGCCTTTTATTAAGTTATATTTAAATAATAAGCGGTTGTCAACACGTTGAAATGTGTCGGATGTTTTCTGGGGATAAACTCTCAGCTTGAGGTTCAGTTTCACTTTCAGTTTCGGTCTCGTTGTGTGCACGGTTTCTCTCATGAGCACAAGTCATGATCTCTTCTGCGTTACAAAACGTTTCTGCCTTATTTAGTTTTTGTCTTGCACATGGTGTTCCTTTGAATATATGTTGAGGTTTAGGCTCAGACGTGAATCCACTTTGATTTCAAAGTAAAATCAGCAGAAACACAGTTTAATATTCACCTTTGATACATCCTGTAGTGAGTTCAGGGAAAGCAGCAAAAGCGTGAAAAGGCAAAAACAAAAGGGATTTTTTTTTTTGTCTGCCTTATTTTTGGATGTTCTGCTGTGTTGTTTCTGACAGTGATCTGATATGTGAGGATTTTAAACGACGGCATGTTGGGGCCATTGTAGGTCAAAACAAATCAATAAAAAAGGAAATAGAGAAGGGGGTTAATTCAAGTGAAAAATACGAGTTTTCAAGTCAAAATGTGTGAATTTACGAGCTTATAAATGTAGAAACTTGCAAGAAAAAGTGACAAAATTACTAAAAACAACCAAAAAACTATATTTTTCTCATAAATCGTGAGTTTCCAATTTAATATCCCCGTAAATTAACCCTTTAACCCTCAGTAATTCGTATTTGTTTCTTGAAATATGATCTCCTTCCATGGGCTCTGCATAGTTATTGTTGAACCTACAATGGCCCTAATTATATTTGTTTAAAAAAAAAAGGGACTATTTTTAACATAATGCAGCTGGATTGTTATAATATGATGTCTGATGTTTGGTGCTGATCGTGAAATCTGGCATCAGAAATCAAGTCGTAATCACTGGATATTAAACAGAAATGAAAATGTTCTGATGTTTTGGACATTTCTAAATGCTTCTTTGGCTTGAAGTGATTCTCTTAACCTTTGTGATTAAATACAAACAAACCACTGAGAGGTACGTGTTCAAAGAATCATCGCCAGTTTGTGAAAATGCTCTGAATTACGGTAACATTGTGTCAGGTTTATTACGTGTAATCACTCAACTAGGCTTTAATTTATTTAATAAGTGAATCAGTGAAATGTCTAAATCCTGCTGAAACATGTCAAGTGTTTATTTATTCATTTTCTTAGCTGCCAAGATATCACTTTATCTTTCTGATTTTCATTCTCAGCTGTTTCTATGTTTTATAAGATCTTTGGTCCATTAACTCTCAGTAATAGGACGTAGGAGTTAAAACAGTGTGAGTATAAAGTGTTTAAATTCAAGGCATCATTGGTGTCCATATAAAACTGTGACAAACCCAACAGATAAGAACAAGGAGAAGTGGAGCACAAATGTTTTAAACACCAGTCTCTCTGCCTCTTCTTTGTGCAACATTTGTATTTTCTCCGATGTTTCTACTTATTTTTTTCTGAGCTCTTTTTGTTTCACACTTCTTGTTTGACGCCTGAAAAGTTTCTGAAGTTTATTTTACGCCTTAAAGTTTGCAGAGAGGTCATTCATACGATCACTGATGTTTGGTTTGTGTATTTTGTTTTTGTTTGCCTGTCTAATAAAAGCTAAGGAACGTTTCACCTTTGTGTCTTTGATTTTTGCATTTTAACAGTATTAAAGAGCACCCATCATGCTGTTTTTAGGCATCAATTATGGGTCTCAGATATATAAAAACATGTCTATGATGTGTTTTGCTCAAAACACAAACGGATCATGCATTTTAGAAATCCCCCATACCCCTCTATTCCAGCTGTTAGAGAAACGCGGATTTTGGGTCCTTAGCTTGAAAAAAAAAAAAAAAAGAGGAGGCGGAGCTAATGCCTGATCAGAATTCTACCGGAGATAAAGTTAAATTCTGCTTTGATAAAACGCCATCCTGTTCTAAACCACATCAAGGATTATTTCTGAAACAGTATGGAGCTCAAATGCTTTTTCTCTCTCAGGTTTATCACAAGGTGAGTTCCTTTTTTAATTTCCTGCTTTTTAAACACATGTGCTCTCCAGTACAGGTTAGCTCTGAGTGTTAGCGAGGCTTGCTAATGTAAACAAAGACGAGATTACGTCCAAAACACGTCAGGCATTGTTTCTGATAGCAACTCTCTGTGGGTCCGCCGCCGATTTGACGTCATCGGCGGCGAATCTGTATCTGCTCGTTGTACCCCCGTTTTTAAAAGATTTGGATACGGAGGGAAAGAGAGGGTTTTATTTTCTGACGCTGCGTGAGTTCCCCGACGCACCGGGGACACTTATGTATAAAAGACATACAAAAGTGCATTTTGCATGATAGGTCCCCTTTAAAAAAAATCTGTTATGTTTCTTGTAAATTCATTATTTTTGTATCAGAGTCAAGTTTATTTGCCAGGTACGTTTACACATACAAGGAATTGGCTTTGGTATCTGGTGGTGTGAACATAAACAATCTAAGGAAATAAGTTGCAATAGTTGGTAGGTAGAAAAAAGAAATATATAAGGATAATAAAAAATAAGTATTTTTAAGATACAATTTAGCATAAAAACATAATACTGTTATGTTTGTTTGTTTTTTCATTGAGTTTTATGATCATTTGCATTTTGTGTTTCCACCACTAGATTATTATTTTATTTAAACTGTCACTATAAAACAAAAGGAGGAATTATTCAGTTGCTGTACTTCAGTAACAGTAGAAATACCACCTATAACAAACATTATATTACAGGTAAAAGTCCTTTAGTGTTTATCAGTGACCAAAAATAATTAGAAAAGATGAATATTTAATCAGCTGCAACCACGGAAACTGATCCCTCTCCTTCACTGTGACTGAAATAAAGTGTCTGTCTGTGGTTTGCCTGAAAATAAAATAGTTTCTATTTTCCATGACACTATTTGGGAAACTTTCTTTTAAAGTGATAATTAAAGAGTCCTCCCCTGCTGATGTTCAGGTGTATATCAGTATGTACTGTAGTGTCTCTACTTTAAAGAGTCCTCCCCTGCTGATGTTCAGGTGTATATCAGTATGTACTGTAGTGTCTCTACTTTAAAGAGTCCTCCCCTGCTGATGTTCAGGTGTATATCAGTATGTAGTGTCTCTACTTTAAAGAGTCCTCTCCTGCTGATGTTCAGGTGTATATCAGTATGTGGTGTCTCTACTTTAAAGAGTCCTCTCCTCCTGATGTTCAGGTGTATATCAGTATGTAGTGTCTCTACTTTAAAGAGTCCTCTCCTGCTGATGTTCAGGTGTATATCAGTATGTGGTGTCTCTACTTTAAAGAGTCCTCTCCTCCTGATGTTCAGGTGTATATCAGTATGTAGTGTCTCTACTTTAAAGAGTCCTCTCCTGCTGATGTTCAGGTGTATATCAGTATGTACTGTAGTGTCTCTACTTTAAAGAGTCCTCCCCTGCTGATGTTCAGGTGTATATCAGTATGTAGTGTCTCTACTTTAAAGAGTCCTCTCCTGCTGATGTTCAGGTGTATATCAGTATGTGGTGTCTCTACTTTAAAGAGTCCTCTCCTCCTGATGTTCAGGTGTATATCAGTATGTAGTGTCTCTACTTTAAAGAGTCCTCTCCTGCTGATGTTCAGGTTGTATATCAGTATGTAGTGTCTCTACTTTAAAGAGTCCTCTCCTGCTGATGTTCAGGTGTATATCAGTATGTAGTGTCTCTACTTTAAAGAGTCCTCTCCTGCTGATGTTCAGGTGTATATCAGTATGTAGTGTCTCTACTTTAAAGAGTCCTCTCCTGCTGATGTTCAGGTGTATATCAGTATGTAGTGTCTCTACTTTAAAGAGTCCTCTCCTGCTGATGTTCAGGTGTATATCAGTGTGTAGTGTCTCTACTTCAAAGAGTCCTCCCCTGCTGATGTTCAGGTGTATATCAGTATGTAGTGTCTCTACTTTAAAGAGTCCTCCCCTGCTGATGTTCAGGTGTATATCAGTATGTAGTGTCTCTACTTTAAAGAGTCCTCTCCTGCTGATGTTCAGGTGTATATCAGTGTGTAGTGTCTCTACTTTAAAGAGTCCTCCCCTGCTGGTGTTCAGGTGTATATCAGTATGTAGTGTCTCTACTTTAAAGAGTCCTCTCCTGCTGGTGTTCAGGTGTATATCAGTATGTAGTGTCTCTACATGTCTCCATGCTTTAATGTTCAAAAAGCTCTTTATTGTTCTCATACTGCCTGTGCTGCAGCACCTCTTTTCACCCTCTGTCTGAAACCAGAGCCCAGTCTGCTCTGATTGGTTAGCTGGCCGGCTCTGTTGTGATTGGTCAACCGCTTAGAGATGTCCCGCCCCTTACCCTATCACGTACAATGTGTTGGAGCGCTAGCAAATAAAATGTGTTCCTTAGTGAAGTCACTTTGTTCTGGAAGTGCACACAAACCTATATAAAACACTACAGGAGAGGGACAACCCCCCAAAAAGCAGGAATAGGGCCTCTTTAATGAAACTATATAAAATGGAAAACATGGCGTGACTTCAGGAAGTGTGTGTGCTCAGCAGTTTATGATACATATAGTAATATATTAGAGTGCGTTTAGTGTGTGATGGTCATATTAAATGTCAGACTGACGGCAGTGATCCATCATCTGAGTCGTTCCTCTAATGAACTCTGTGGCTCCACTCCAACATCCTCACAGAGAGGAACTGAACTCAAGCCAAAAGTCCTCTATAAGAACTAAAAGGGGGGGGGGGGTGAAAAAAATGCTGAATATGTGTCTGATATCCATCCATCCATCCATCCATCTTCTCCTGCTTATCCGTGGTCGGGTCGCGGAGGTATCAGTTCCAGCAGAGAGCCCCAAACGTTCCTTTCCCCTCATCAACCAGCTCTGACTGGGGGGTCCCAAGGCGCTCCCAGGCCAGCGAAGAGATATAATCCCTCCGCCTGTCCTAGGTCTACCCCTCGGTCTCCTCCCAGCTGGACGTGCCTGGAACACCTCCCTAGGGAGGCGCCCAGGTGGCATCCTTACTAGGTGCCCGAACCACCTCAACTGGCTCCTTTCGACGCGAAGGAGGAGCGGTTCAACTCCGAGTCCCTCCCGGATGACTGAACTTCTCACCTTATCCCTAAAGGAGACGCCAGCCACCCTGCAGAGAAAACCCATCTCGGCCGCTTGTATCCGCGGTGTGTCTGATATAGTTTAATATTTCACTCAAATATAAAGGATTCAGCCCACTTTCTTCCTGTTTCATATTGACCAATACTCTGTGTATCCTTTATTGTTCTCCCGTGTCTTAATTGTTTTTTTTTGTTATTTATTATTCTACTCAATGTGAATGTTTTGTATTCCTGTTACCTGTGACTTTGTGATATGAGTTATTTATTTTATTGTATTTATTATTATATTTATTTGTATTATTATTATTATTTCTGTGAACATGACCTAATGGGATAGGGCATGGGTATTTGTCTTTTCTTTAACACACAAATTGTTCTGTACTTTGTTTAATGTGCTGAAAGTGCCATGTCTGCAAAATAAAGGATTCACTGGGAAATATTAGAAAATAAAAAAGGTATTATCTCTGTTTCTCAAAGGTTTTATTTAAAGGGCCCCTATTATGCTTTTTGGGGTTCTTCCCTGTGTTCTATAGGTTTCAGTGCATGTAAATGGTCTGCAAATGCAAAAATCACCTTCTCAAAAACGTCTTGTTTCAACTTCTCCCACAAAAGTAATGTTCAGATTATCATGATATTTGTTTTATTTCATTTGTGTGCATGCTATTTCACTTCATCACTCCCACAGTCCTGCAGGCCTTACATCGTTCATGTTATTCTTCACATGAATGTTTTTCACAGAGGAAATCACATCAAGCATCAGAACAAATACTGTCCATCCCGAAACCTCCGACATGCACAGAAGAACAGACAGATTGTCATTGGAAGACCCAGATTTGTAATCCACCGCGTCATTTAACGCCAAAGAGTCATTTACAATATGGACGCTTTCTTTCTTTTTTAAGGCATCTGATCCAACATCGCTGAGTTATTTGTTGTTTCCACTCAGTCATGCAGCGACAGAAGATCCCTCATGACAATTCCACATCAGTTCACTTTGGTTTTAATTTGATTTAAACCACCATTTTGAATTTTATTAGCCTATTAAATGCCTAATCTTAGTTGTCATTACCACCATTATAATGCTACGACGGAGCCATCTGCCCCTACTGCCATCGAGAAAACAAAACCTCCTCAGTTAGGTTTGAAGATATGAATTATAATTCCCTTAGATTTAGTCAATCGTGTTTGGGCTAAATAAAGGCTAAACTTCAGGTGTTTTAATCTGGTTCAAAGCTGCTGCCAGCGTTCAGGTTGTACAGAGACTGTTTGTTCATGCAGGATTGAAATTGGGATTTTTTGGGGCCTGAACAAACTCTGGTAAGGTTTAGTAAAAGATCCGGGTTTGGGTTAAAACAAGTACATTGTGACGTGACCTAAGCAGGTATTTAAGTAAAGTACGTAAGTTTCCGTACTTGCATAACTTACAAATGTTCAAGTTGACCTGAAAGTTAGCTATCCATCTCAACCTCCTTCGTTTCTATTTATATTTAGTCACCTGACTTTCTCCTTAAACCGTCATTATTACCACCGCTGATAACAGCCATTTAATGTGCTGATAACACTCAAAGGAGCTTCTGAAAACAGTTTTAATCGGCTCTCTTCATAGCTGATGCTACACGTTGCTATAGTTGGTCTAGGTCTAATAACTTGAGCAAGTTAAGTCTGTTTCGCTAATAATGTACGTGACTTAAGTCTGAAGTGATGTTTAAAGAGAACTGGATTCAGCTTTAAGCACATTTTACAACTTCTAGACCCTAATGATTTAAATAAGGGCTATAAAAGTGTTGGGTAGTTGATGTAGGTCACAGAAAAAAGGATTCGCTGATTTCCAGACGTCTCTTTCCCAATGTAAGCCAATGGGAAAAAGTATTCTTGGGCCCATTGACATCACAGAATGACAGGGAAGTTGTAGTACCGCCGTTTGGCCACTACTAACATTTGCTTCAACATCCTACAAGGGTGAAAGTCATGTGTTTATTGATCCATCCATTTTAACGCTCTTTATACGACGTCCCTTAACATCCTTTGCTCCCATCAGAAACACAATATGATCCTTTTTTAAACTCCCCCGAGATGGGTCAGTTAACCAATAGAGGATAAAGGCCTTCTGAGCAAACTAGCAGGTAGAGTATCACCTCAAATCCTTGACTCAAATGAAAGTTAATAGCGTCCATTTAATGGGCTGAAAACCCTCACTAGAAACAGTTAAAATGGCGGCTCCTCACAGCTGATGCAGCTCCTTCCTCTTCAGTATGTTGGAGTAAGATGGATGCTCCACGTAACTGTAGTTAATCACACCTCCATCATCCTCATAGTCTATATCGTCCTCCTCCATGTCATCAGTATCATCATCCCCCTCCTCCTCGTCCTCTTCCTCTTCCTCCTCTTCTTCTGGCTTGTTTTCGCAGCTCATGTTGATTTTCCGCCGGTGGTTCTTCCTCACCGAGGCCTCCAGAGCTTTCTGCCGGCGGTAGAAGTGAGAGAACTTGTTGAAGATGATGGTGATGGGCAGCGCCACCACCAACGTGCCGCCCAGAATACATCCGCTCGCTGCCAGCTTCCCGGCCACCGTGTCGGGAACAACGTCTCCGTACCCCACCGTGGTCATACTGACGGTGCCCCACCACCAGCAGGCCGGGATGGTTTCCAGACCCACGTTCTGAAACAGAGGGGGCTTTATTATTAGGAGGTTAAATAAGAAATACATTCAAATGTTTAAAAAGCCATGGGATTTTTAAATTACAGAACTGTACTGTCTGCATTAACATAATTATTATAGAACTAGTCACAGTATTAAATCATTCAAATATTGTTGAACCATTATTTATTTGTTACTATTTTTGTATTATGATTATGATTTTGTATTTTTTTTATTATTAAAGTAGTTACATTTTGTTATTTTTATTCTTATTAGGATTAGTATAAATTAACAATTTTTAATCATTATAATTGTAATATTAAATATTATTTAACCATTATTTATTTTGTTACCATTTATTTTTATTATGATTATAATTTTTATTTGTATTTTTTAAATGATTGAACTAGTAAAATATTGTTATTTTTATAACATTAATTATTGTTATTACTATTAAATTATTATGAATAATTAATATTACTATTATTACAATAAATATTGAATATTATTTTTAAGATGATTAATATTAGAATTATGATTATTATTGTATTTGTATTATTTAATTATTATTCATTTATCAACAATATCTAGTTTTTATATTATTATTATTATTATTATTATTATTATTTTATTACAATTATAGTTTTAATACATTGGTTGTCCTTGTCTTTGCAAACTTATAGAAACGTTGTTAAATAAATAATATCATTTTTCTCTAGAAACTGGCTAAAAGAAGAATAAAAAATCATAAAAATAAGTTAAATATTTGTATATGAAATACAGATTAAGAGTTGAATGTTACCGTCTCATATTCTGCGGTGTAAGCGATGCCAGAGAAGACGGAGACTCCCACAGCGAGATACAGCAGCAGGATGCCCACCTCACGGTAACTGTGCTGCACGAAACACACAGAAAAACACTACTTATGCTGCGTTCACACCGGACGCGATGCGACTATTCGCTTCGCTCTAATCGCTCCTATCGCATCGCTCTAAACGCTGGAGTTTCACCGCGGCTGCCAGCTGTGTTTACTCGCATCATTCAAACACAACTACGTTATTAACGCGTTAACTTGACAGCCCTACTATTAACATTTCTATCATATGGTGCAGGCGTAAATAAATGTTCTTTAAACAACAAAGGAAATCTCTCCTGATTGAAGTGGCGGTATTAAATCCTAAATTGGCTCCAGAGTAAATCTGTGTTTGTTTGTGAGGAGGAGAAAACTTTGAATATTGTGTTTAAAAACCTCCATTGCCTTTGAAAAAATGAAGTTGATATGTAGTAAAGAAACCGATAATTTCTCAGTGTGTCACTTTTGATGCCGCTCACGAACCAGGAGCTTTTATTAAAGTTCTGCTTGGATCTTAATGTAAATATAAATGCATCCAAATCCAGTTACCAGTAAAACAAATGATCTAAGATCATGATTCATCTTTTCACATTACAGCTCATGCAAGTAGAGCTCATGTTGAGACATAAAGAGGGACACATGAGCTCCTGAGAGACTCGTTGTGATGTAATGGAGACGCTGCTCTGTTATTACCTGAGTCTCTGCTGCTGTAACTGATACACTTCCCATCGTACACTATAATAACATTACACGTCACAACAGAACTCCACTGATTCAGTCCTGGAAGATTTCCATCAATAATTAATGCTCAAAAGGAAAAGTCCTGTTCCAGACAATCCCTGTTTGCAGAACTGAGGAGCAAAACATGCCTTAGTTATGTTAACCGTATACATATATGAATTTAAAGGTAAAATTAGAGATAGTCTAAAAAGCTTGACTTGACCATAAAACATTCTGCTGTACTGAGGAGCAACAATTGGGACATCTTTTTAGTTTCGATTTGTCCAAGAAAGCAAAATGTATTCTTTAAAAGGTACTATACGTAGCAGTATGTCAAACATGTTCATTTGTAAACGCATTTTCACCATATTTAGAGTCTATGATTATAACTTAAACACAAGACCCTCCCCATCTTTCTCAATTTGCTGTGAGGAGATGGATGAGATATTTAGGTACAGCGGTAAATTCAAATGTAATCTTGAAAAGTGGCAAACAGAGTTGGGTGTAACGTGTTACAAAGTTACAAAGTAACGCGTTACTGTAATAATATTACTTTTGTCGGTAACAGAGTAGTGTAACGCGTTACTTTTATAATTCAGTAATCACACTACAGTTACTAACATTGCCCCGACACGCGTTACTTCGTTACTTTTATAAAATCAGTCATAATCACACTGACAGACAAGAGGGGTTTCCGCCGCAGGTTTATATGTACGTAATCTGCGCGACTTGCGCGTCCACATCTCCACGTGCAGTGCTGCATAAACATGGCTGAGTCAGCGATAACTTTCGAGGGGTGGAGGTATGCCCATTATTTTGAGTTTGTCCAAAGAATAGACAGGAATGTGACGGTGAGGTGCAAACTGTGTCCAGGCCAGAAGCTGTTATCCACTGCTGCAAACACCACGTCAAACCTCAACAAACACCTGCAAAGAACACATGCTAAGGTGAAGCTAATAGCTAAGGACCCCCGAACCCAGAGTGAGGATGTTGTGAGTGCGCCGCCGCCGACTCCGAAGCGGCACAAATTAGAATTTGGAGGACCGGTAACCAAAGCAGAGATGGACAGGCTTGTAGCATCCTTCATAGTAGAGGTAATGTTGCCCATTTGCACAGTGGAATCACCATCGCATCGTTCAGAGATATACTGCGCAAAATACAGATAGCAGGAGACAGAGGACAGCCATGGTCAGAGCTATCTGGATCAGTCTTATGCGACAATGGAAACTGAACTAAAGAGAACATTTGACTTTAGCAGTCTGCGTGATCTGCCTGCAGGGAGGGGCGGGCCGGCCCTGCGAGTAAAGTAACGAGTAAAGTAACGAGTTACTTTATGTAGAGAGTAACGAAGTAGTGTAATATATTACTTTTTTTTAAAGTAATATGTAATATGTAATATATTACTTTTTTTTAGTAACGACCCCATCTCTGGTGGCAAAACACTTTTTTAAAGATTCTTAGCAACATAAAGCAAAGAAGTGGAGCGATTACACTTCAATGTCTGTTGGGTTGCATAGCACTGATCGGTAATAACCACAAAAGAAAGAGCAAGAAGAAATGGACTTTAACATTTAAATCTGTATCGTACAATCAATGATGTTATCGTGTAGGCTACAATAACAACAAATCACTTTCTATTAAACAGAAAGGCAGGGGTTGACAACTAGCTACTGGAAACTGAGTAAAACTAAGGTTAGCCAGCTAGCTGTAACCTAAATTAAGCTAAGGTTAGCCAGCTGCTGAGCCTACGTTTGGCTAAGTTTAGCAAGCTAACTCTAACCTAGGTTAAGCTGAGGTTATAGCTAGCTAGCTGCTAGCTGTACTAAGCAGTATTAATATGGCGTTGGTTGCTTTTTAATGGTCACAAGTGTCTCAAATAAGAAGGATTTTCTGGAAGTTCTGCAAAGTACTTTAAATCAGTACTTGTTTTTATTTTCTCGTGCTGAAAAGTGAATAATTTGTTCACGATGATGGTCTTAAGATTGGACCGGGAAAGATGCTTGTTTTTTTTGGGAATGCTGCACTCTGGTCCAGTTTTGTATAGATTTAAGGTGTCTTCTCAAAAAAGGAATTCAATAGTTAAAAAATGCAGTGATACAAACTTAAATATCAACATTTGTTGCAGTAGGAACTAGTGTCCCTATGTTTCAACTTAAAACAAATTGCATCCTGCATCTAACAAGCTTGTGTTTGTAAAACTTCTATTTGGCTTGTTTATATTTCACTCCCCAACTTCCTGTAGTGTGTTCATAAATCCAAAACCAACAACAATGTTTTTCAGCTCGCTCCTACATCGTTCCATCACCCTTTATCTGAAGCATCTGCAGAAAAGGTCAACAGACCAGAGTTTCACACAGAAAATAAAAAATCCATGGCATCATATTTTGTCTTCCTTGAGGGTCTCTGAGGTTTGATGTCACTGCGTGTCGGTCTGCCGCGAGTCAGAAAGTCAAACGTTAAATAATTCAGTCCGTCTCACCCTGAGTGTCGCTCCCAGAGACCGAAGTCCTGTCGAGTGTCGAGCCAACTTCAAAACCCTGAAGACCGTAATCAACTTCAACACCTGAGAGGAGACATGAGGGAAGAGATGAAGGGAGACAAGATTCATGCTTTTTATTACATTTTCTAACCATCAAAAAACCCTTAAAAACAACAGCAGCCCAGGTGGTGATTACAAGATAATGGCAACTGAATTTCCTCTTACGTTACCTGCATTTCTGATATTTAAGATATAAATTGCCCATTGAATTTACAATCATGTAAAGTTTTTTATGGGCTTAATTAACCTCAGCAGCTCAGATGATTTGCTAACATCAGATAAAGCACACAGTGTTACAGTTACATCACATATCAACCTTTGAGAGGAGCAATACAATAAATATGTGATATAGAAGAACGTACGTGTGCCGTAAATAAAAGAGCAAACAAGATATTATCTTTGAATGATAGTGACATCTTTAAATGTGGAACATATCCAGTGGTGCAATGCACTTCAATAACTGCACTTAAGTACACATTCGAAGGTACTTGAGTATTTCCCTTTCATGCTAATAATACTTCTACTTAATTAAATGATATTTGTTCAAGTTTGTTTGTAAGAAACACTCAGACCTTCCTCAGCTTTCTCTGTTCCTTTTAGCCTTTGGACTGATTTCTATGTGAAGGACATGAGACATTTCTTTATACAAAAGGATGAGATGTCTAGGGCCAGAGTCTAACGAATTGTTCAAATGTAATTTTGGGGGAAAAAAGTGTTAAAAAATATAGTAAGTCTTAGCTACATGAAGCACAGAAGTGAGCCATTAAGCTTCCATCTATGATGAGTTAGTTGCACATCACTGATCGGGCACGAATTACCACAAATGAATTACATTCGAGGTACGTTAGTATTTCCATCTCATGCTAATAATACTTCCACTTAATTCAATCCTGTACTTTTACCTGCATTTGTTTGATATCAAAGTCTATGAATGCACAAATCAGCACTTTTCTTGTATGGGAAAAACGGCTTAGCAATTAATTGAATTTTTAATTTGTTTACATGCATTACAAAGAAACAAAGAAACCTGTATGAGTCTCCCCATAAAAAGGTTACATCCATACACTATTTGTACATTATAAAGTATGATAAGGTGTACCTGAATGAGTCTCCCCAGGTCTCCCAGCTCAGACTCGTCTCCCAGCAGGAGCTCCAGAGGCAGCGTGATGTAGATCGGAGCCACGGATACCAGATCAATAATGTTCAGAGGCTGTTGGAAGAACTTCCTCTTGTTGGGAGCGAGCAGCAGCCGCATCACCACCTCAAACACGGAGACAACAGATTTGATTTTCTACTTTCATTGATACGATAATAACCTGTTATTACTATAAATACATATAATATCCTAATGTATCTTGTTGTATCGTATCTCATCATATCGTTAAGGAACATATCATATTGTGTCGTACAGTAACATATCGTATTATTTAAAATCAGATGAATGCAAATACCACATTGTAATATATCGTATCATATAGTATTATTTGGAATTGTATCGTATCAGTATGCACTATTATTTATTTCTATAATCTCCTCACCTCGAATGTGAACCAGCAGGTGCAGAAAACCTCCAGAGCCTGTGAGGTCGGGTCGTCGATCAACTTCCCTTCACCTTCAAACGTCTGAAAGAAAACAGGTGGGAGGTTATTTATTAAGATGACAATTCTACTTTTTATAACCTTATTTTTCACCAAATACCAGCAGAGTCCTCCTTTATCAATGAATCTACACTGAATCTAAAAATGTGTGTATCATGTCTGTGTGTTCGGATTTGACTGAGATATGACTTCGAGAAGTGGTCTGATTTTGACCAAACAACTATATAGGCACAAATACACAGAGATGGCAAAAGTACACACATCCTTTACTCAAGTAGAAGTACAGATACTCGTGTTTAAAAATACTCTGGTGAAAGTAGAAGTACTGACTAAACTTCTTTCCTCAAGTAAAAGTAAAGAGGGCTTTGAAATGTACTTCAGTAAAAAGTACCCATAACTAGCAGCTGTTTTAAAGAGTACCTGACCTCCCTTTATATTAATAGAACAATAATGTCATTGTTAGCTAATGAATGTTTTCCATGCTGAACAACGGCAACATGACAACGTTTCATTGGTCCCTCTTCTTTAGAGAAGACCAGGAAATGATGGATACACGGATCGTGTTCAAATCAATAGGCACGCAATGACTCTAAATAATAATGATCACGCCACCAAACACACATTCAAACTAAAGGAACCAGCCTGTTTGGGAAATGTGAGAAGTAGAAAGTACAGGTATTTGTGTACAACATGTGAGAAGTAGAAAGTACAGGTATTTGTGTTCAACATGTAAGAAGTAGAAAGTACAGGTATTTGGGTTCAACATGTAAGAAGTAGAAAGTACAGGTATTTGGGTTCAACATGTAAGAAGTAGAAAGTACAGGTATTTGGGTTCAACATGTAAGAAGTAGAAAGTACAGGTATTTGTGTTCAAAATGTAAGAAGTAGAAAGTACAGGTATTTGTGTTCAACATGTAAGAAGTAGAAAGTACAGGTATTTGGGTTCAACATGTAAGAAGTAGAAAGTACAGGTATTTGTGTTCAACATGTAAGAAGTAGAAAGTACAGGTATTTGTGTTCAACATGTAAGAAGTAGAAAGTACAGGTATTTGTGTTCAACATGTAAGAAGTAGAAAGTACAGGTATTTGTGTTCAACATGTAAGAAGTAGAAAGTACAGGTATTTGTGTTCAACATGTAAGAAATAGAAAGTACAGGTATTTGGGTTCAACATGTAAGAAGTAGAAAGTACAGGTATTTGTGTTCAAAATGTAAGAAGTCAAAGTGAAAAGTTGTCAGAAAAATAAGTAGTGGAGTAAAGTACTGATACCAGAAAAATGTACTTTAGTACAGTAACAAAGTATTTGTACTCCACTACTTCCCACCTCTGCAAATACACAGTCCTAAACCCTCCGATGGAAACTGAGAGAGTGTCACCTCGGGGATGCTGTTGATGCACATGATGGCGATGGAGCTGAGCAACACGCTGATGGACACCAGGCTGAACATCTTGCTGGGGATCGAATACCCCGGGTTCTCCAACGTCAGCCACAAACACTTCCTGATGTTCCCGTGCCGAACCTCCTGGAAGTGCTTCATGTCTCTGAGAGGACGGAGGAGGTGGATGTGAGTCTGTGTTGGGAAAATACTGAATGTACTCTTCCAATATCAGAGTACACATGATAACAAAGGTAACCCAACTGTAGCTGTGTACATGACAGGATGTATGATTACCTAGAAGAGCATCAGGACTGTTTTAGGCATATGATAGCTATGTGATTAACATGATGATTCAGCCTCTATGGAGATAGACATATGACAAGCATGCTCATTTCTGACGTGGAGCTAATCTGAAGTAAACATTGAATACTGCTTTCTATTCCTCCATCTTGTGACTGTGTAACTCCCTCTCTTGGATATCAGCATGTGAAGGACACTGTTCAGGAACTAGTTGATGCTCTGTATGTGATGACTACTTCCATTCTGGAGAGGATCACAAATACATGGATCCTGAGATTGAAGATCAAGCCGATGACGAGTGATATTTCTCAAACAGTCTGGCTGCATGATTAATCCTCTACTCACAGGTTTGAAGAAGTCTTTCTACCTGTTGAGGTCTGATATCTCGTCCACGGACGTGTCCACGCTGCTCACGTCGCTGTCCTCGTCCCAGCTGTGGTGCCGCGAGCTCTCCAGCTTCCTGTCGTGGAAACGGTAACTGCAGCAGGAGTCCAGGAAGAACTCGTTGATGCCCCAATACTCGATCTCCTGACTGCCGGGAAACACGAGACACATCAGGGTAGTGTGAGCACTGGTTAGAGTCTTTAAATCATGAAAAAGAATATGAAAAAACGATGTAAAGACATCCCTTTAAAAGCTCTCACATAACTATTATCCAAGTCTTAATTATCCAGTCGATGCTCATTGATTAAAAAACACATGCTTTTAACGAGATGAACAGCTTGGTTCCTTATTTTGCCTTTAATATTTGAAGTATCAGTTTATATGAGAAATAGCTTGTTTGAAAACGTTTATTTATTTTTTCCACTGCTTTTTTTGTGAATAAAGAAGCATACTTTTCGTTCTGATCTGGACATTTCTTTTAATTCATCTCTCAACAACAAGCGTCTATTCATCGAGTGAATCACAGACAAAAGAGTAAAACAAATGGATATCGTGGTCACTACACTTACTGTTTAAAACACTTCAGCATTAAAGGTGGGGTAGGTAAGTTTGAGAAACCGGCTCGAGATACACTTTTTGTTATATTCCATGGAATGCTCTTAACATCCCGATAGCAATGAATATCTGAAGTGCTTTGACAAAAAATCCATAAAGAATATCATCTGTGGAAGCTGTAGTACTGTAAAAAGCACGACCAATCATCTGAGCCGGCCCGGCTAAAATAACTGGATGGCCTACCTGCCTGTCAGCCTTCCATCTGGGCACAAACTTATCTCGTGCCCTCATTGGTCATGTGCGCGTTCGTGTGTGTTGGAGGAGGGGCTCTGTGAGGAAGTCTGAAGGAAGGGGCAGATTTTCTCCGGTTGTGTATTTTCAAATTCTAGCGCACTCGAGCTGGTTTCTCAAACTTACCTACCCCACCTTTAACAGTTTGAGCTCGCACACGTTTCAAGACATTAAGGTCATTGTGAAATGCATGTGTTTGTGAAGTAATGAGAGTACTAGGCTGGGTATATATATAACTTGGATTACACTACAAGATTTGTCATTTTAAATATAAGTTTTGACATAGATTTTCTGTGTAAAAACCCTTTGACTCATCAAGACATTTCTCAGTTTTTATCAGTAGTCCTTTACCATGCATGTAAGTCATTAAACAAAGTTTTCTTCAAGTATTAAAGGTAACTAAATGACATACTGTACACATTGTGTGGGATAAGTATTCATTAAGACCCTGTTAAGTGGATTTGTCTGCCTCTGAAATGGCTGTAATTGTGTCTGTGGTTTGCAGATGTAAACCTGATGCAGACCTGAAGGAGAACACACACAGCTCCTCCATGATGTGAAGTTTCCCCGTCTGGTAGAAGTGCAGAACATAAGGAAACAGGCCGGGGTTCCTATCGAAATAAAACTCCTTCTGCTGCACATCATAGTCATCACACACCTGCAGGAAGGGAAGATAAAGAAAGAGAAATGATGTGAGAGAGGGAGGAGAAATGTGTTATTGTTTACAAGATAAATCCCAGGAATGGACCCACCTGCAGGAAAGGAAGTTAAAGGTGTCCTATCATGCTATTTTTGGGCATATATTATGTGTCTCAGATATCTAAAAATATATTAAAAATATGTCTATGAAGTGTTTTGCTCAAAATACCAAACAGATCATGCATTCTAGAAATCCCTCATATCCCTCTGTTTCAGGCCTGTTAGAGAAACGCTGATCCTGGGTCTGTAGCTTGAAAACAAAAAAAGAGGAGGGGGAGCTAATGCCTGCTCAGAATTCTACCGAGATACAGCTAAATACTGCCGTGATGAAACGCCATATCATGGATTATCAAGGATTATCTCTGAAACAGTATGGAGCTCAAAGGCTTTCTCTCTTGCCGGTTATACCACAAGGTGAGTTCCTTTTTATTTCCTGCTTCTTCACACACATGCTCTCCAGTACAGGTTAGCTCTGAGTGTTAGCGATGCTAATGTAAACACCGACCATATTACGTCCAAAACAGTCGGGCATTGTTTCTGATAGCAACGTTTCTGATTGGGCCGTGGGTCCACATTTCAGATATTACGTCATATCGGACGCAAATCTGGATCAGCTCCGTTGTAGCCCCGTTTTTAGAGATTTGGGTACGGAGGAAAAGAGAGAGGGTTTTGTTTTCTGACACTTTGTGAGTTCCCAGACACACCGGGGACACATCTTTATGTATAAAAGACATCAAAAAGTGCATTTTGCATGATAGGAGACCTTTAAAGAAAGAGAAAATGATGTGAGAGAGGGAGGAGAAATGATCTATTGTTTACAAGACAGATCCCAGTAATGGACCCACCTTCAGGATGTCCTCCTCGGAGTCACAGGCCAGCAGTTTTCCCAGTCTGGTGTCGGGGAATTTCTTCAGAGTGTCGCAGCAGAGGCTCCTCTTCAGACCCCCGACGTTCACGTGGACCAGAGCCTCGTCCGAGTCCTGCAGGAGCCAGCCGGGCAGCCGCTCCTTCACCATGGTGCTGCTGACACAGGCAGAAAGGGTTGTCAATCAGTCATTCAAATGTCATTTAAGAAGCCAATAATTACACATTTGTCTCAGGGGGCTTCACAGAATATGTAATACAACACCCTCTGTCCTTAAACCATCAAAGTAATACGGGAAAACTCCCTAAGAAACCCCACAATTACATTTATTTTTTAAATGTCCGAAATTCTTCACAATAACTTTCATTCATGTACCTTTGTTATTCATGTTTTATTATCTTTGCTTTTAAATTAGTGTTTTAAATGCCATTTTATAATATGTTTCTTAATGCTCTTAATGTCTTTCATTTTTGTAAAGCACTTTGAATTGCCACTTGAAGGTGCTATATAAATAAACTTTATATGCTACTTATGTCACTTGTTGTTGTTTTTTAGATAGCTGCTACTCGTTTTTAGCCATGGATGTGTATTTATTTGTCTTCATTTTGATTCTATTTCTAATGTATGCTACACTTCTCTATATTTAATAAGTTAGCTAAGTCTTTATTATAGCTTGCCTTGTTTACCTGCTATGCACTTTTTGCTGTAGCACTGTAAATGTCCCGCTGTGGGACGAATGAAGGGATTCTGATTCTGGAAAATGTTATAAATCGAGTAACAGAGACGGATCCTTCTCCCAGGACGGACAGACGTGCAATAGATATCGTGTCTTTAGACTAAACAAATAATATTACTTATTTAATACAAATTATATTGTATGTTTCAAAGCTTGATATATCATGTTTGCCACAGAGCTCCAGTGTTGTTAAAACACACCAATGAGCCACTGTTCATAACCATGAACACACACACTGTAGTTTATATTGACTCCCACCCACACACACCGTCCTGCCGACACAAATAGTGACTACAGCGCCTACATTGGAATTAATCCACAGGAGAAAATAGTCCCTAACAAAGGCACTATTTTCTCCTTTTGTGTGTCTGAATAAAACTACACAGATCCGTTTTGATGGGAAGTCACAGAGGACATATATTTAGATTCTTAGAGATATATATATATTTTCCAGAGGACACAATGGGCTTCATCTTGTGGGCTTCTTTTGGAATTGCTCGGACAAAAAAACGTGTACTTTGATAACAATTGAAAGATAATAATAAAAAACCAAATGAGAAACTGTTTAAGGAAATACTGAGACTTCAAAATATATAGATTTCATTTGGGAGGCATTTCAGAAAAGTATCACATAATTAAACTTCATAGTCACAGTATATGAACTCCCTCTGGAGGAAACACAGGGATTATAGTCTTTGCAGACCATTTACATGCACTAAAAACCTATATAACACACTACAGGGAAAGTAACACCCCAAAAAAGCATGATAGGGCCTCTTTAAAGGATTCACATCTTCACAAAGATCAGATGCACTTGGGGCACAGACAGAAAATATTGTTTGTTTTGATCTTTTCCTTGGATTTGTTAACAATAATAAATACACAGCAGCCTCTGGAGATTTTTTAAATAAGTGACATCGAACTTTGTTTTGGGACAAGGTTTATGAAATGAAAGTGTTCCAGTTTTTCTTTATCTAAAGCTGAATCAGCAAATCCCCAAAAAGTAACTGACGTCTTTCTGGCAACGAAGAGCCAGATTTAATGTTCTGCTCCCAATGTTTCCACCCCTGTTTTCAGATGCAGGCACTCTCATTTCAGCTACTCTGCTAAATGCACTCCGGACACTAATTTAATCTCCGGGGCGTTCTGAAGTTAAAACAAAAACATGCCGGTGTTGGTCGAGAGCCAAAAAGCTTTTACTGGATTTCAGATCTTTGAAGTTTGGGTGTTTTTCTGTAAAATTAGCCAAAACACAGATTATAGAGAGTTGTGCTTCTGTGAGGATTGATTTCATATCAACATTATCATGGCTAAAAGCATCTTGTCCTCATGTGATCAGGTTTATAAAAGCACACATAGAAGCAGCCAAAACAGAAAGTAACTCCCACTCTCTCTCCTCTGAACACCCACTCTGCACACACACAATAATGAAATCACTCCACAGATGATTAATAACAAACTTTATATCAAACTCAAACTGTGAAAAGTGTTGTGAAGTTTTTAAGTCGCTCTCCTGCCGCAAAGTGTTCCTAAAATATATTTTTATTACAGTCACATGTTAGTATTAGTGCCAAGAAACAAAATGTATTTGGCCTATTTGTTCTTTTTTAATATTGCTTAGCAACAAGTGGAGTTTTATGGAATAAAGATGAAATGTGGATCATCATATCTTTAAAAAACTTGATTAAAGGGGCATCATTATCCACATGTTCAGGTGCATATCAGTATGTAGTGTCTCTACTTTAAAGAGTCCTCTCCTGCTGATGTTCAGGCGTATATCAGTATGTAGTGTCTCTACTTTAAAGAGTCCTCTTCCGCTGATGTTCAGGTGTATATCAGTATGTAGTGTCTCTACTTTAAAGAGTCCTCTCCTGCTGATGTTCAGGTGTATATCAGTATGTAGTGTCTCTACTTTAAAGAGTCCTCTCCTGCTGATGTTCAGGTGCATATCAGTATGTAGTTTCTCTACTTTAAAGAGTCCTCTCCTGCTGATGTTCAGGCGTATATCAGTATGTAGTGTCTCTACTTTAAAGAGTCCTCTTCCGCTGATGTTCAGGTGTATATCAGTATGTAGTGTCTCTACTTTAAAGAGTCCTCTCCTGCTGATGTTCAGGTGTATATCAGTATGTAGTGTCTCTACTTTAAATAGTCCTCTCCTGCTGATGTTCAGGTGTATATCAGTATGTAGTGTCTCTACTTTAAAGAGTCCTCTCCTGCTGATGTTCAGGTGTATATCAGTATGTAGTGTCTCTACTTAAAAGAGTCCTCTCCTGCTGATGTTCAGGTGTATATCAGTATGTAGTGTCTCTACTTTAAAGAGTCCTCTCCTGCAGTATAGGACCCCTTTAACTGGAAACATTTGCCTCCTGGTGTAAATATATCTTAATATCTGCAGCTCACAGGAGGGAGAGGCTGCAGTAAAGTGCAGATATAATGTAATAATGTTATATTCTCTAAATGCAGAGTGTAGGAAATGGCCTCACAGACAGGTGTTAACCTAATGTGGATCTAATGGTGTTATAACCGTCTGTCTCTGGATCAGATGTAATCCGTAAAGTGCTCACAGTTCACTGAGGCAGCAGAAATGTGTCTTCCTGCAGGAGGAGTGGAGGGCATGTGGGAAGCATGTTAGCTTTCTTAAGGCCATGCTGGAAGTAACTAATAACTCCAGCTGTGTTTGATGAGAGCAGATTTAAGGTATTTTAGTAGATTTATTCCATGTTCTGTTATATTGTTTTTTGATAGCCACACTTTGAAGATCACCATATTGTCTGTATTTGATAACAATCTAGAATATGATGTAAGGTCTGCAGATCCAACATTTCATAAACTCCTTTTTGGCCACATTTTTGCTGTTTGTTTTTGTTATTTAGTAGTTCTTAGTCAAGTGTCTATTTTGTCGTTTTATTTCCATTTGTATAACTTTTTGTCAATTATTTTTGCATCATTTTGAAGTTGTTTTGTATCTCTTCTTGGTTGTTTTGCGTCTGTTTTGTTTTGTGGTTGTTTTGTGTCTCTTCGCATATTTGTTTGTGTCTATTTGTAGATTTCCTTGTCTCTTTGTAGATGTTTTTATATTCCTGTTTTTTTGTATATGTCCAAAGTTGTTTTACGTCCTTTGTGGTTGTTTGTGTTTTGTATATTTGTCTTTGCATCACTTTGTATTCATTTTGTGTCTTTTTGCATTTACTCTGTATCCTTTTGTAGTCGTCGGATTGACTCCAACAAGAAATGCTAACACAGGCTTGAGGCTAATTATCCAACTAACTCACCACTTTCTGACTCTTGAGCAATAATGTCAATGTTAAAAATGCCACCTTTAATATCTTTACAGGAAATTCCCCATTGTTGTTGTTTGTTTACATTCCTCCTGTTGCAAAATAAACAGTACGAGCGTGATGAGCTAAGCTACAACTGCAGCACGCTTTGCAGCAAAAATGATCATAGGATCCTTGAACATCTTGCAAGCATTAAACAAAGGTAAAGAGAGTAGTGGGACACATTGACTCTCTCTCCATCTCCCACCTCTCTTTCTCTGTCTATAATTACATGAGGGTCCATGCTGAGCTCTCGGGGGAGGGTCCACGCTGCACATACAGAAATAAAGCTGATCTATAATTCAACACAAAGGAAGCACTGCAGCTTCAAATCACAGCGGTGTGAAAAAGCATCAACAAACACAATGAAGACAACATGGGGATGACATGGAGACAACATGAAGACAACATGGAGACAACATGAAGATAACATGAAGATAACATGAAGACAACATGGAGACAACATGAAGATAACATGAAGACAACATGAAGATAACATGAAGATAACATGAAGACAACATGAAGACAACATGAAGATAACATGGAGACAACATGAAGATAACATGAAGATAACATGGAGACAACATGGAGACAACATGGAGACAACATGAAGATAACATGAAGATAACATGGAGACAACATGGAGACAACATGGAGACAACATGAAGATAACATGAAGATAACATGAAGATAACATGAAGACAACATGAAGACAACATGAAGATAACATGAAGATAACATGAAGACAACATGAAGATAACATGGAGACAACATGAAGACATGATGGAGACAACATGAAGACAACATGAAGACAACATGGAGACACGATGGAGACAACATGGAGACAACATGGAGACACGATGGAGACAACATGGAGACAACATGAAGATAAAATGAAGACAACATGGAGACAACATGAAGACAACATGGAGACAACATGAAGACAACATGGAGACAACATGAAGACATGATGGAGACAACATGAAGACAACATGAAGATAACATGGAGACATGATGGAGACAACATGGAGACAACATGAAGATAACATGAAGACAACATGGAGACATGATGGAGACAACATGGAGACACGATGGAGACAACATGAAGACAACATGAAGATAACATGGAGACATGATGGAGACAACATGGAGACAACATGAAGATAACATGGAGACATGATGGAGACAACATGGAGACAACATGAAGATAACATGAAGACAACATGGAGACATGATGGAGACAACATGGAGACACGATGGAGACAACATGGAGACAACATGGAGACAACATGAAGATAACATGAAGACATGATGGAGACAACATGAAGACAACATGAAGACAACATGAAGATAACATGGAGACATGATGGAGACAACATGGAGACAACATGAAGATAACATGGAGACATGATGGAGACAACATGGAGACAACATGAAGATAACATGAAGACAACATGGAGACATGATGGAGACAACATGGAGACACGATGGAGACAACATGGAGACAACATGAAGATAACATGAAGACAACATGGAGACATGATGGAGACAACATGGAGACACGATGGAGACAACATGGAGACAACATGAAGATAACATGAAGACAACATGAAGATAACATGAAGACAACATGGAGACACGATGGAGACAACATGGAGACAACATGAAGATAACATGAAGACAACATGGAGACACGATGGAGACAACATGGAGACAACATGGAGACAACATGGAGACAACATGGAGACAACATGGAGACAACATGAAGACAACATGGAGACAACATGGAGACACGATGGAGACAACATGGAGACAACATGAAGACAACATGGAGACACATATATTAAGACACAGCAGTGAATGCAGAAGCTGTACAAAGATTATCTATTTTGACATTTCTACTGTAATAAAACTCAGAATTCTACATCTTAATTACACCTCTCACTGTTAAGAGTCCTTCATTGTAATCATTCTTACCAAAACAGACACAAATATATAATTAAACGCCAATTATTATTACGATACCACTATATTCTGATGATCAATTTCACTTCTTTGAACACGTGTTTTATGTTAATCCTATGTTTAAATATGAGTTGTAGTAGTTTGATATATTAAAGTGTATTCCAATGTATTCTATAGATACTCTATATATTTCTTTATTATGATACAGTTATAATCTCTTACTATTGAGCAATGCCTTGATAACCGGCTGCTGTACATCCCTATTTTAGATAAACAAAGTACATATATCTCTAAGTCTGCATTAAAACTGCAGGCTTTTGTGAATATACAATATTTTCAATTTAATTTATTTGCTCATTTTGTATAATGTCTAAAGTATGTTTATCCCATGTTTATATTTAAGTTGTTGTAGTATTTATATATATTGCTTCTAAGTAATTTATTTATATCGTATGCAATGTATTCCATTTATACTCTATAGATGCATACTTGTTTTGTTAGTGTTGATATGCTTCCTGTGTATTTTTTACTGCTGTGCAATGCCTTAAACCTGCTGCTGCTGTAACATCAGAAAACCCAATTTTAGATAAATACAGTACATCTATATATCTATTAGTCTGCATTATAACAACAGGTTTGTGAAATATTCATAGTATTTATGAACACTTACCTGCTGTGGTTTGGTCACCGGATGATCATCCTCCTCAGAAGTCACATTCACCCCATGATGCGTTTATAAGTTTCTTACTTTCACTCCTTAAAAACAGGCAACATGTCACTCAAGAATCGACAAAAACCGACAGAAAACAGCGATCTTCTTCTGCTAAACCACGTAAACTGACAACGTTAAGTCTTCCCGTGAAAATGAAGTGAAGAGAAGAGAAAACAGTCCGCTGTGTTTCGAGTTTCCTCCATCTGAAGATCGGATCCTCTGTCTTCGCTCCGAGGAAATCTTCGGGTGTTTCCGGAAAATTCCGGAAGACGATCGCTTCTCCGATCAAGACATACCTTTATTACACTAAACTAGAGGAGGGAGAAGTACTCAGATCTTGTACTTGAGTAAAAGCAGAAGTACTTGAGTAAAAGTAGAAGTATTCAGTTCTTGTACTTGAGTAAAAGTAGAAGTACCCAGATCTTGTACTTGAGTAAAAGTAGAAGTACTCAGATCTTGTACTTGAGTAAAAGTAGAAGTACCAGAGTGTAGGAATACTCTATTACAGTAAAAGTACTGCATTCAAAATGTTCCTCAAGTAAAAGTAGAAAAGTATTATCATCAAAATATAGTGAAAGTAGCGACAGTAAAAGTAGTCATTGTGCAGATTGGTCCATTTCAGAATAATATATATGATATGTTTTATAATGATTGATCATGAAAGTGTTCTCAAAGCTGGTAAAGGTGCAGCTAGTTTGAATGACTTTGTATACTGCAGGGTAGCTTGTGGATTTACTCCAGGTGGAACTAAAGTCTGATTTAACACTTGATTATATTTCACATCATTCATCCACATCTGTGAAGTAACTAAAGGGATTAAATACATGTAGTGGAGTCAAAGTACACCATTTACCTCTGAACTGTAGTGGAGTAGAAGTACACAGTAGCATTAAATGGAAGTAGTTGTACCTCAAAAGAGTAAATGTACTTTACACCTCTGCGCTAAACATGCACCAACACTGTCTTTATGGAGGCTTTGTGACGCTCAGTGGTTAATTTAGATCAGGTTTAATTATATTTATTTATTGTAAGATCTCCATAGACAATTATAAGCTGTGCTTCCTAATGGGAGTTTATTTGAGATATACCTGCTATCTCAGGTGTGTGTTTATAACTTAATGAGTGAGCTCTTGGGTGTGATTAAATGGACCGCATGTTATTATTGTTTATTTTAAAGTATTGCATTATGCCTCAACCATCTAGACATGCTTTTTTGCAACCAAGGGATTTCATTTCACGAACAGCAGCTGACTTTACATTTTCCTCAACGACTCATCAGAGAATAAACACTTTCTTTCCAACACTTGATGTTATACAAAATGAAGAAAAGCTTTGATTGTTTTGTATTTGAGAAAACCACAAAGTGTGAAGGATTTTTAGAGAAAACACCTTTTTAATCCTAGCTTTCTGAACTCGTACTTCCAGAAATGCATTTGTCTGTTTTTTTATTCATATTTCCTCTTGGGATGCTGCATTTAATTTACTTTCGGATGTGTGTGAAGGTGGATCCATCTAGTGGCCAAAACATAGTATTACATCCTCTCTTTAATTTTGAGTCACAGGGGAGTTAGACAAAGTATTCTGATATTTCATTTGAGTAAAAGTAGTAATACCACAATGTTTAATACTATGTACAACAAAGTAAAAGCCCTACATTCAAAAATATTGCTTATGTACAAAAGTTTTAGCTACAAAATATAGGCTATTAAAGTAAAAATAAGTAAGAGATATAAGATTAGATGGACCTCTATTTATCCCTGTAGGGAAGTTCACGTGTGATGGCATCAACAGAATAAGAAGAAATACAGATATTACATATGGAATAAACACAGGAATAACAATAACACCACAGCTGTCGTTGTACATTTTACTCTATAATCTGTTTCATATTTAATACTCCATATTCCATATATTTTGAATATATATATATATATTTGTATATATATATATAATATCTGCATGTATATTTTCTATTTCGACATGTATATTTTCTATTTTCTATTTTATTTTATTTTATTTCTATTCTTGTATATTTTGTAGTTTTGTTTTATTGTAAAATGCCTTTTATGCTGCTGTAACAAAAACAATTTCCCAATTTGGGATCAATAAAGTACGATCTATCTATCTATCTATCTATCAAGAAGGCCCAGCAGCGTCTGCACTTCCTGAGGGTGCTCAGGAAGAACAACTTGGCCACTAAGCTGCTGGTGACCTTCTACCGCTCTACCATCGAGAGCCTATTAACATACTGCATCACAGTGTGGTACGCCAGCTGCACTGAGGCCGACAGGATGAGGCTCCAGAGAGTTGTAAAAGCAGCACAGAGGATCATCGGCTGCCCTCTCCCCTCCCTAATGGACATTTTCACCTCCCGCTGCCTCAGTGGAGCCAAAAACATTGTTAAGGACAGTTCACACCCCGGCTTTCAGCTGTTCGACCTGCTGCCCTCCGGCAGGCGCTACAGGTGTATCACATCCAAAACAAACAGACTCAAAGACAGTTTTTTCCCAAGAGCCATCATTGCTCTTAACAACTGAAAGTCATACCTCTTAATCATCCTGCATGTGAAATAAATGTGACTCTGTATATATATATATGTCATTATTATTATTATTATTGTTATAAATACATACCTACTATTATTATTTATTACATTTTAGATTTTATTTTTTATACCCCTGGAAATAATGACTGCACTTTATTCCTTTTTCCTAAGTATAGCTGCGTGTATTTGTTGTCGTATGTTGTGATGTTTCTTGTTTTGATGGCACCTTTTGAAAGGGAGAAGCATTTATTTCTCTCATTGTACATGTATAATGACATTAAATGATTATATTCTATTCTATTCTATAATACAATATACATAAAGTATATAAGTAGTATTATACAGCTGATGCAGTTAATATTAACTTGTTAATTCACTGCAAGTGGCAGCATTATTTACAAGTTGATGAATCGTTAGTATTATTATTTGAACCTGAAAAGAAACTTGCATCTTTTGTTATTGAATAAATGCAGATTTAAAATATGTCTCTGTGTTGGGGTAGACTGGAAAGTAAACGAGCAGAATATGGAAAATACGTTTTATATATATGTTTATTTTCTTATCAAAACACACATTTGCATATTTAAACATACAATTTCAGACAACTTGTAAAACAAAAAATAAGTGTCTTAATGCGAGGGATTATACAAACCTTTTCTCACATTCAATAGACAAAATGCTTAATTGAGAAAATAATCGGAATATTAATCCATAATGACATTAATGGTTAATAGCAGCCTGTGTCTGTTGATTGTGTATATATAGGTATATACATATTTTTATATATATTTGTATTTTGTATTTGGGATTGTGGGAAACTGTATTTCGATCTCTCTGTCTGTACACACAAACTGAAAGATTGACAATAAAGTTGACTTTGATTTTGATTTAAACAGGGTCAAATCCCAGGTCTTGATTGACTTCTTGCACTATTTGTATTTTTACATTTGTTTTATTGTTTTATGTCTTATTATCAAATCAAATCAAATCAAGTTTTATTTATATAACACATTTTAAAAACGATTTTTGGTCGAGCCAAAGTGCTGTACATGTAAATAATAAATAACACATTACTACAATCGCAAAACAGAAGACAATAAATTACAACAGCAAATATAATGGGGGTGATGTGGTGACGCTTTTTGTGGCCAGTGAGAAGACGTGCAGCTGCGTTCTGGACTAGCTGCAGGCGTCTAATTGACGCCTGGTCCATACCCACATACAGAGCGTTGCAATAGTCCAGCCTTGTGGTTACAAAGGCGTTAATAACCCTTTCTAGGTCTTTAAAAGATAAAAACGACTTGGTTTTGGCCAATAGTCGTATTTAAAAAAAGCAGGTCTTGACTACAGTGCTGACCTGCTTATCAAATTTAAAAGCGCTATTGAAGGTCACTCCAAGGTTCGTGACAGAGGGGAGGATGTTTTTATTGAGGGAGCCCAGAATATCAACCTGGGAGGCTGGAGGTTGGGGTCCAAAAAAGATAACCTCAGTCTTGCTCTCATTGAGGTTGAGGAAATGTTGGCTCAGCCAGGATTTGATCTCTGCTAAGCAGTCCATCAATAGCTGTAATGAGTTAACATTTGCTTTGAGAGGCAGATAGATCTGTACATCGTCGGCGTAGCAGTGGAAGGGGATGTTGTGTTTAGTGAGAATTGAACCTAGGGGCAGTATGTACAGTAGAAAAAGGATGGGGCCCAAAATCAAGCCTTGGGGAACCCCACAGGTAAGAGGGGCTTTAGCAGAGGAGAAGGCACCTAGCTGCACTGAGAAGCTACGGTCTGTCAGGTAGGACCTGAACCATGCAAGGGCAGAGCCTGTGATGCCTGTGGACTGTTCAAGCCGTGACAATAATATTATATATTATGTTGCATTGTTGGAGGAGCTTGGGACTTGAGTTTTTCATTGCCACATCTCCACTGTAGCTGTGCATCTGACAATAAAGCTTGGAATCTTTGAATGTACAGTCTCTCTCAGTGTATCGCCTGTTTGGACGTTCTCCTCGGTCGTACTTTCATCCTCTCCTCCACTGTCCTGCATCCTTTAAAGCAGAAATGCATCCGGATGTTTCCGCTGAACTTCTTGTCTCTGAGGCCGTAGATGAGAGGGCTGAGAAGACGAGGAAGAATGTTGGTGAAGATGAAGGTGCTGAAGAAGATGTCTGTTGTCTTGTGGGGCCAATTGGTGACGAGGAAGAGGTTGATGAAGGGCTGGATGAAGGACAGCAGGCAGAGGAGCAGCTGGACCCCGTGGAGCAGGATGGTGTTTCGGGCGTTTCTCATCGAGGCTCGACTCACACCTGAAACCCCCCGAGCTGCGAGGAGCACGTTCAGATAGGTGAAGACCACCGTGAGGAAGACGAAGGAGAACAGGAGCACCTGAGGAGGAAGAGGGGAGTACTTATTAACAGAGATGGCAAAAGTACACACATCCTTTACTCAAGTAGAAGTACAGATACTCATGTTTAAAAATACTCTGGTAAAAGTAGAAGTACTGACTAAACTTCTTTACTCAAGTAAAAGTAAAGAACTATGGGCTTCGAAATGTACTTAAGTAAAAAGTACCCATAACTAGCAGCTGTTTTAAAGAGTACCTGACCTCCCTTTATATTAATAGATCAATAATGTCATTGTTAGCTAATGAATGTTTCCATGCTGAACAACGGCAACATGACAACGTTTTCATTGGTCCCTCTTCTTTAGAGAAGACCAGGAAATGATGGATACACGGATCGTGTTCAAATCAATAGGCACGCAATGACTCTAAATAATAATGATCACGCCACCAAACACACATTCAAACTAAAGGAACCAGCCTGTTTGGGAAATGTGAGAAGTAGAAAGTAAAAAGTCTGCAAAGTAACTAAAGCTATTCAATAAATGTAATGGAGTAAAAGTACACCATATACCTCTGAGCTGTAGTCGAGTAGAAGTACAAAGCAGAACAAATACTCAAGTGAAGTACCTCAAAAGTGTACTTAAATACTTGACTGAATGTACTTAGTTACTTTACACCACTGCCTGAGGGAAAGGCGTGACAAACACAAATATCAGAGAGAAATTCAACGAGATAACAAATACCTCCACCACCAGACTGAGGGTCACGTGGTACGGTGTGTTGAAGACCAAGGTGGCGTGACAGAGGACCGTCTTTGAGAAGACAGACAGAGGCTGAGTGATGAGGATGATGATGATGTCAGTGAAGGCAGGGATGAAGGACATGAGCCAGATGAGAGCGATGAGGAGGTGGGCTCTCTGCACCGTGCAGATCTGGACGTGATGAAGAGGAAGACACACGGCGATGTAACGCTCCAACGCCATGCCAGCCAGATTCAGAGGGCTGATCCTGGAGAGAGAAACACACACACACACACACACACACACACACACACACACACACACACACACACACACACACACACACACACACACACACACACACACACACACACACACACACACACACAATCTGCAGAGTTCATAACCCCCAGCTGAACAAACAAAGCACTCCACTACATTTGAATGCAGGACTTTTACTGTAACAGAGTATTCCTACACTCTGGTACTTCTACTTTTGGTCAAGTACAAGATCTGAGTACTTCTACTTTTAGTCAAGTACAAGATCTGAGTATCTTATTTCCCGAGTCCCTCCTATGTGATTATTCCTGCCGTACTTTACTTGTGAAGCGACGCAGGATGAAACCCTACCTGTTGGTGGTGATTAAGACGACCAGCATGATCCAGCAGGGGATGAATCCTGGGTTGGCGGTGTAGGTGGCGATCACTAGCCCCAGAGAAACTGTCAGCATGATCATGTCGTTAATCACCAGGTGGATGTACAGCACATATCTGCAGGAGAGGAAGAGGAAGAGGAGGAGAACATCTATATTGATTCTGACACTTCTACATCCAACTCACAGATGTAACCTTGCTTTGAGAAAAAAGATTATTAATTTAACCCTTTTAGAAGTGAAGTTATAGTCATTTGTTCTGGGAATGTCATTTTCGAGCCTGAAACCTGAAAAACAGGCTCAGGGCTTAACTGGTTTAAAAAAAAAAAAAACTCAGTCAAGCAAAATAAAATACATTTCAAAAATAAAACTACAAGTTGCAAACAAATCATTTGTGTAATCATGTAAACTAAAAGTCTTTTTTCTTTGTTTTAACATAGGTTTTTGTTTGCAGTTCTTGTTTCTTCTTTCTCAATGATCAGACTTTTGCTCTCGCTGCAGCACTCTCTTTTGCGCTCCTTCACTTTTTGTTTGAGATTCTGACACAAACCTCCCAGGTGGGCGGGACTTTCAGGGGTGCGTCCCCATTGGCTACTCAGTTTTTGAGTGACAGCCCAGTCCTCCAGCGATTATACAGTGCAGGCAGCTGCGGTGCGGTAGCTGAGATAGAACCATAGAACACCCCCAGAAGAACCAGCATTTCAATTATTATAATTAACTAAATAACTACAAGTGAACATATATGTATATGTGTAGAGCCGATGAAAGGGAGTCGGAGGCGGTGTGTTCAATATGGAATTCCACACTTTATTATCCATTAATAATCAAGACAAGGTCAGTACACTTGCTGCTCTGCATGTCTAGCTAGCATGAATGACACCAAACACCGGTACCCTCACTAACGGGTCTGGGTTGCAACACAATAATCTCAATGGTGAATTATGTATCATAACGTGTCACCACACAAGCCCCCCCAGAATTCACCCATAAACAAAATCAGCATGGCGGGGCGGAACGACAGGTCGACCCCCACGACTCCTGAGCACGGGAGTCGGGAAAACGACCTCTGCATGTGTGGCCTCCGGAAGAGGCAAGACCGGAACAACGGGTCTCAAGTCAGTGACAGGGATCAAGGCCGGGGGGCCCCCCGTCGCGGAGGTCGTGCCAGCACCACCGGCTGGCCCAAATCCAAATGGGCCGCCTTCACCCGGTCCACAGAGACGCGCTCGGCCTTACCACCCAGGTCGACCACAAGGTGTTTGTCCCCGTGCTCCAAAACACGGAAAGGTCCATCGTAAGGAGGCCGTAGAGGACCCCTGTGCGCATCGTGCCGTATAAAGACGAGCTCTGCCGAGTGGAGATCCGCGGGAACCCGGGACACCTGAGAACCATGTTGGGCAGTGGGAATCGGAGCAAAAGTCTCGGCGGTGTCCTGCAGGCAAACCCACTGTGCCGACGCCGACCAGGGAACCGATGTGTTAGGGAGGAAATCCCCTGGAACTCTCAGCGGCTGACCGTAGACCATCTCAGCCGTGGAACACTACAGATCTTCCTTGGGCGCGGTCCGCAGGCCCAGCATTACCCAAGGCAGCTTGTCGACCCAATTTCCATCCTTCAGGCCGGCTCTGAGTGCTGCCTTCATGGAGCGATGGAAACGTTCACAGAGGCCATTAGCCTGAGGGTGATAAGCGGTTGTCCTGTGAAGCTTAACCCCCAGACCACACGCCACGGCGTTCGAGAGCTCAGACGTGAACTGCGAACCCCGGTCAGAGGAAATGTCCGACGGGGTGCCAAACCGACACACCCACGTCGCAATGAAAGCCCGGGCTATGTCAGCCGCCGACGTCGACACGAGAGGAATTGCCTCCGGCCAGCGGGTCATCCTGTCCACCATGGTGAGGAGGTAGGTAAAACCCAGAGAGGAGGACAATGGACCCACTAGGTCGATGTTGACGTGGTCAAACCTCCTCTCTGGCACCATGAAACGTTCCAAAGGGGCTTTCGTGTGGCGATGCACCTTAGCGCGTTGACAAGCCACGCACTCACCAGCCCAAGTCCTCACGTCCTTTTTTAGTCCCCGCCAGACGAACTTCGCGGCCACCAAGCGCACCGAAGGTTTACAGCCGGGGTGAGACAGGTCGTGCACCGCCTCGAAAACGGAGCGCCTCCAACTGGCGGGAACGACCGGCCGCGGCAGGCCTGTGGAGACGTCGCACAGGAGAGTAACGCCTGCGTCACCGAAAACCACGTCTTCCAAGCGCAGCCCCAAGCTGTCCTCCTTCAGGGCCTGTACGCCGGGGTCCGTGACCTGGTCCGTCGCCATGCGGGTATAGTCCAGGCCCAACTGGACGGCCCCGATGACGACCCTGGAGAGGCAATCTGCGGCTAGCCACGTGCTTAATGTCTGTGGTGAACTCTGAGATGTAAGACAGCTGCCGCTGCTGATGTGCAGACCAAGGCTCAGCCACTTTTGACATGGCGAACGTGAGCGGCTTGTGGTCAACAAACGCCGTAAATTCACGGCCTTCCAGCAAAAAACGGAAGTGCCGCACGGCCAGCTAGAGTCCAAGGAGCTCTCGGTCAAAGGCGCTGTACCTGCGTTCCCTGGGCGTCAGCTGACGGCTGAAAAAGGCGAGTGGCTGCCAAGCGCCCTCCACCCACTCGCCCTCCACCCACTGCTCGTGCACCGCACCAACGGCGTAGTCCGATGCGTCTGTGGTAATGGAGATGGGAGCCATGGATGATGGGTGCGCCAACAGGGCCGCCTGAGCCAACGCGGTCTTGACCTCCGTAAAAGCAAACTCAACTTCCGCCGTCCAGTCGATCGCCTGGATGGGGGTTGTACCATTCAAAGCCTCATACAGCGGCCGCATAATGTGTGCGGCCCGGGCGATGAAACGGTGGTAGAAAGTCACCATCCAGGGGATGCATGGTGGTATCCGCGCGCCAGGTCCACTTTAGAAAACACCAGCGTACCGGCCAGATGTGCTGAAAAGTCTTGAATGTGTGGCACTGGGTAGCGGTCAGGTGTCGTGGCGTCGTTGAGGCGGCAGTAATCCCCGCACAGGCGCCAACCGCCGTTCGGCTTGGGAACGACGTGCAGAGGAGAGGCCCAAGGACTGTCAGAAAGGCGGACGATACCCAGGCGTTCCATGGTTGAAAACTCCGCCCTCGCTACTGCAAGCTTAGAAGGGTTCAACCGCCGGGCCCTGGCGTAGACTGGGGGACCTTCGGTGGTGACGTGGTGCTCCACCCCATGCTTGGTGGTGAGTGCGGAGAAGGTGGGTAGCGTCAGGTCTGGAAATTCAGCCAACAGCCTGAGAAAAGTGTACGCCCCATGTACTGTCCTCCAATACACAAACACATAGGCCTCACGCCGTACGTGCGAATGGGGCCGCCATTAGCCGTCGTCCGCGTCCCCCACGAGCGACGTCTTCCCTCGACGCAGGAACCACACTCCGTTGAGTGCCTGTGTCACACAGAAACAAGCTTCCTGAGACTCTGTCGCTGACGAAGAGAAGCCTGCTCGTGCCGCCAACGCTCAGGGCCACTACTGAGCGCCGGCTCCTCCGTTTCCCGGAGGTTTGTAACTGCAGGGAGCGACACACTTCTTCGCCCTGGCCCCGAACCGCGCGTGGTAAAGACACTCTCCTGTGTCCCCACGCCGGCTTGGTACCGTCGCGTCCAGCCTCCCCCAAGCCTTCTTAACTGTTGAGGGGGCGCTGAGCGTCACAGCTAGCGCCTCTGCACCGGACTGCTGGGTAGCCAGGAAAAAACGGTCGGCCTCTTCAGCCAAGGCACGGGGCTCCGTAATGGACGTGTTAGCTAGCGCCGTCTGAACCCGGGAAGGCAAGTGGCGCAGGAATGTCTCCATAAACAAAATCCGGGGATCTTCCCCCCTAGCAGATTCATCATTTTCTCCATTAGCTGAGATGGCTTGCTGTCTCCTAGGCCTTGAATGTCAAGAATCTGGCGGGCCCTCTCCTTAGCAGATAAGCTAAATGTCTTAAGGAGAAGGGCCTTAATCGCCTCATATTTGCCATGGTGTGGGGGGTCTGCGATAAACCCCACCAACCTGGATGACGTGGAGCTTCCCAGCGCAGCTACCACGTGGAAATATTTCAAGTCCCCGTCACGGACTTGCCGGCAGGCAAAGTGTGCCTCCACGTGTGCGAACCACGCCGCAGCAGCATGCTCCCAAAACTCCGGCAGTTTAACAAAAACATCGCGATCAGCCATGTTCATTAAGTCTTCGGAAACTTTCACGAAAACGTCAGGGTCACCAGTGTAGAGCCGATGAAAGGGAGTCGGAGGCGGTGTGTTCAATATGGAACTCCACACTTTATTATCCATTAATAATCAAGACAAGGTCAGTACACTTGCTGCTCTGCATGTCTAGCTAGCATGAATGACACCAAACCCCGGTACCCTCACTAACGGGTCCGGGTTTGCAACACAATAATCTCAATGGTGAATTATGTATCATAACGTGTCACCACAGTATTCATAATTCGTGTTGTTTGTGTTGTACTATACGGTCTGTTTCTTTATTGTGTTAAGTGAGAAGTAAAGCTGTGCTATGAAAGTTAGCTTTTGCTACCTTTAGATCCATAACAATGCAAGCTAAGTAGCCTAACAGTTAGCTACATAGCTAGCAGTGAGTGAGCGTTCAGACACCGGCGCACACACTCAAACGGACTCGTGTGCCTGACTCTACCAACAGGCTTTCATGATTCTGTTTAGATATGCAAGTATAAGCCATGATAGCTTATTTTATTAACATGCTAATTTGATATGAAAATCAATGGAGGCTGAGTTAACTTTGTAGGAAAACCTACCGTCCATGATGCCCCTGAGCTGTGTTTTATTTGTTAACTTCATATTTTTCATTTCCTAAAACATTTATTTTCCTCTCATATTAACAGTGTGGATCATTGAGACAGCGTGGTGTCCAGAGTCTTATCCCGTTTTCCCACTTCCTCTGAGGGGACAGCACGGAGGGGGGGGGGGCATGAAGAAAGACCTGCACCAGCTTCATCCACGCTGGCGTTGCTGTTATCACTGGCTCAGTGTCATTTCATTTGACCAAATGTCTTTACATATACATTTAATAGATTTTATTATTATCCACCTTTTTGTTTTATGTCCTTTTATTTAAAACATTCTTTGAGACTTCATCTTCTGGTTCAAATTTCAATAAATGTAATTTGTATAATCACTCTTTTGTCTTTATTCTACATGAAAATGTTAGAGATTCCATTCAAATCTGTTGATTATTCATATCTTCCTCAGGCTAGGAATAGTAGGCTATGTCGAGTTTTTAATGCTAAATGTATATCATTTTCTCACAGGATATAGAATGAGACAACACAGTTTTTATCCATTGTGTATGAATGCTTCAGCTCTTCAGACCAACATAGTAAGATGTGAGCATGGTCCTAATTGTGTTGGTATGCAACCTAGGTCTGGTCTGTTTAATAAAGCAAATCTGCCACTTTTATATTGTAGAATTTGTTATATTAAAGCAGTCTTTAATTGTTTGTCCTAAACATAGCAATATATGCTTTTGAAATGTAACAGTCTTTGAAAAAATAATAGTATACAGTTTATATTGTGTATCACCTTTAGCTTGAAAATACATAGATGTGTTTTTTTAATCTAAAAAATAAATAGACCGACAGACACTTTATCAATCCCAAATTGGGAAATTATTTAACAGCAGCAGTGTGTTCAGGTATTAAAATATTTAAAATTGGAATAAAGTTTAAGGACACACAACACAAGTATAATGCACAGCAATCCATAAGATAAGTCTGATATTTTCATGAAAACCCCCCAGGAGGCACCAACACTAACGTGGCCGAGTGGACTCCGGAGTTTGCTGCATGAGTTGCACTGTATGATCTGTGGTGTAGTGGGCTGTCACTCAAAAACTGAGTAGCCAATGGGGACGCACCCCTGAAAGTCCCGCCCACCTGGGATGTTTGTGTCAAAATCGAAAACAAAAAATGAGGGAGCGCAAACGAGAAGAGCTGCAGCGAGAGCAAAAGTCTGATCATTGAGAAAGAAGCAAAGAGAACTGCAAACAAAAACCTATGTTAAAACAAAGAACAAATACTTATAGTTTACATGATTACACAAATGACTTGTGGTTTTATTTTTGAAATTTATTTTATTTTGCTTGACTCAGTTTTTTTTTCTTTTAAACTCATAGTTTTGCATTATTCTGAGAAAGTGTTGCTTTATCTTTATGATACAAAACTAATCCCATATGATAAGGGCTGCACAATTAATATATATGTTATGCACTATATGGACAAGTGCAATACTCAAATCTCAGGATGCAACATATTTGTGAAAGGCTAAATATGTTTTAAAATAATAACAATAATAATAAAAATACATGTTATTTATATAGCGCTTTTCCTGATGCTCAAATCGCTTCACAAGCAAGATAGAAATACAATGTTTAGAAGAACCTTGGAGCTGCAGAGATATCAGAGCCATTCATATCCTGCAGAAATGATCAATCCCTCCATATTATGGAATAATGTCGCAGTTGCAATATCAGTCAAATAATCGCAGATAGTTATTTTTTCCTAATTGTGCAGCTCACGTTTTAATCATTTAATATTTCTTGTTTTAGGTCTACAACCTTTCCATATGTTAAAAGGACATTTGCTGTCACCTAAACAACGTTTCAATCTATTTTAATATACTTGTTTTAGAGCAAAGCATTAAAACAACAGCTGATTCCAACCTTTTTTACAAACGTGTAAGTACCACACTCTTCATTTAGACATTTAAGCAGATCTGAATATCAAGCACAATCTGTTTTAGTGTGACTATGTTCACATATTTGTTTATCACCTGGGGTCTCGCTGGAAGTCCTTGCTCTTGAAGTATGTGTAGACAAAAGCTCCATTGATGCAGATGATGGTGAATACCAGGAAAAAGGTGATGAAGTTCTTTGTGAAAGCTTCGTTATAGCTGTCGAAACGTCTGCTGGAGTTCATATTGTCCTCAGAGCTGGAGACACAAAACACAGAACACAGATTAAATGAGAATAAGAGCCTTCGTTGTTCTTTAGTAAATCAAACTCCTTAGCTTAGCTCTAAACATGCCTGCTGTAAGAGGAACAGGAAGAGCAGCAGTTCATTATATAACAATATATACAAATATAACAAAAAGTAAACATCTAAGGAAAGTTAACATTTTGTGGGATTTCTTTGTATACTACAGTGTTAGAAAAATAACATTCTATTTTCAGTATATAATTGTTTTTATTGTTTTACGCTCTGATATAAAATATTAAAACAAACAAAACACAATCAGAAAATCTAGATGTGTTTTTCCGCATTTAGTTGAAGCTTCTCGAGGCTTTTAAAGGCCTTTTGAAGAAGAACACAGTCAGACAACGGTATTATTATATTAAAAATATAACAAAAAGTTAACATCTAAGGAAAGTTAACTTAGTGGTTTTCTGGCATTTATTTGTATACTATAGTATTAGAAAAAATAACATTATATTTATATATTTTATACCAATTTACATCATTCAGCAGTCTATAAATGTTCACTCTGTAGTCTGTAATTAAAATGATAAATGCATAAGTTCAGAATATTGCTTTAAATGACATTTTACAATGAACTAATTTCACTATTTGTGCACCTAGAGTCATACACATTACATTTAAACTATCCATAATGTAAATAAAGTAAGAACGTTTTTTAAAACATTGCAACATTAAATCGTTTCACACTTCTTAACAGAAGAAACACTTAATATCAGCTGCAACAACAGACTCTCACCTGCTGACTCTCTGAATCCTCCAGCAGCCAGTCAGCTCCTTTATAATTGTGTGTGTGTGTGTGTGTGTGTGTGTGTGTGTGTGTGTGTGTGTGTGTGTGTGTGGGTGTGAGGAGCATTGTGAACTTTTGATCATTAAAGTTAGTGAGGATGTTCCCCCGTAATCAAAATTTGCATTAATTTGCCGACTTTGAAATTAAAATGTATAGATGCATTCAGGATTATAATTACATTTGATTTAAAGTGTGTGTGTGTGTGTGTGCGTGTGTGTGTGTGTGTGTGTGTGTGTGTGTGTGTGTGTGTGTGTGTGTGTGTGTGTGCAGGGCTGCCAACATTTGAGTTCAGCTTGGAGTGAGATTTTTTTTTTGGTGAACCAAAAAAAGAAACGTTCATGTGTACAGTGTTACAAATGTATTGAACATGTACAAACTAGGGTTTCCCATTAATGTACCGGGCGCTGCATATAGGTGTAAAACAGAGGTAAAGTGCTATTTTACAAGTGTGTCACCTCCTCTAGGGGCAGGGGCGGACTGGCCATTGGGAATACCGGGAGTTTTCCCGGTGGGCCGGTCCCGAAGTGGGCCGGTCGGGCAATTCACTGTATATATACAGTGAATTGCCCACTTCGGGACCGGCCCACCGGGAAAACTCCCGGTATTCCCAATGGCCAGTCCGCCCCTGCCCCTAGAGGAGGTGACACACTTATAAAATGTACACCTAAAAAAAAAATCGTGCTGTAATATATACGCTTTTGAGCATACAATATTAATAGTGAAGTACAGTGCATATATCCCTTATATCCCTTCACAGAACTAAAGTATGCTTTTAAAAAAGGTTTAATGAGATGATGGAATCAAAGCTGAACTATATAAAAAGGCACACATGCTGAAACCCAACCCCAGCAGGGGGGTCTGGGGGGATTCTCCCCCAGGAGATTTTTAGAAATACTAACATAAACTACGCATTCTGGTACACTCTGAGAAGAAAATCGGGCCTTCAAAATAAAAGTTTTTCCCCCAAAAAAAAAAAAAAAATTCCAATTTTTTTTTTTCTTCACTCACACATCCGCGACTTTTGGGTCGCGACCCACCAGTTGAGAACCACTGCATAGTATAATAGTAAAGTTATTTAAGATGATGCCATATTTATCGAAGATTTACATTATAAATATTCCCCAAAATTATTCAAAAGCATATTCTTCAAAACTCCTTGCTGTAGTATGACCACCAGGAGACTTGATGTGTGTAGTGAGTTTGGTAGTAATAAGCTGTATAATAGTGATTGAATATTATTGTATTCTCTTTTTTCGGAGTTGCACTTTGCAGACGGTCCCTGACAGAGACCAATGTAAGTGTCCAGCTCGGAGGACGGCGCATATTGGCTTTTTTTTAATCAAAATGTGATTGTAGTTCGTTGTCAACCTTAACCACGGTACTTAGGAGACGTCATTTGTGTCTGAATAACGTTTTGTTCATGAGTTATTGATCCGTGAAATCAGAATCTCCCAATATCGTTCCAACTTTACTGAACTAAGCCAAAAGACCGTCTCATTTCGTAGACCGCTCAGTTTGCTGTTCCTTCACTTTATTTTTACATTTATATACATTTATTTTGGACGAAAACTTAGCGTGAGGAAAGGCAAGTGTGGCGTGAGTGCGTGAGATATGGGTTAATTGCGTGACTCTCACGCTCAATGCGTGAGTGTTGGCAGCCCTGGTGTGTGTGTGTGTGTGTGTGTGTGCATGGGCGTAATTTCCACTGGGGACAGGGAGGACATGTCCCCCCCACTTTTCAAAATCCCATTTGTGTCCCCCCCCACTTTTTAAATGTGTTTATTATTATTTTTTTTACGCAAGCGGTCATCGTCAAGGAGGAGCGTCTGTGTGTGTGGCACGAGCGCATCTTGTGAGAGAGAGATAGAAAGAGAGAGAGAGGTGGTTGTTGTTAGCATTTGGTGCTAGCTCGGAGCTAACGGAGATTAGTAGCTGTTTCAACAATAAGGAGAGGGAGAGCTCTTTCCTGTCGGACTTTGAGAGAGTGAGAGAGAGACAGACACATATATATAGAGAGAGAGACAGAGAGAGAGAGACTGAGAGAGAGACAGACAAATATATAGAGAGAGAGAGAGTTACGTGGGTTGTTGTTAGCATCTGGTGCTAGCCCGGAGCTAACGGAGATTAGTAGCTGTTTCAACAATAAGGAGAGGGAGAGCTCTTTCCTGTCGGACTTTGAGAGAGTGAGAGAGAGACAGACAAATATATAGAGAGAGAGAGAGAGAGAGAGAGAGAGAGAGAGAGAGAGAGAGAGAGAGAGAGAGAGAGAGAGAGACAGAGAGAGAGACAGAGAGAGAGACTGAGAGAGGGACTGAGAGAGAGACAGAGAGTTACGTGGGTTGTTGTTAGCATCTGGTGCTAGCCCGGAGCTAACGGAGATTAGAAGCTGTTTCAACAATAAGGAGAGGGAGAGCTCTCTCCTGTCGTAAAACAGGTTCACATGGATAGGATACTAGATAAGTGTGCACACTCATTATATACACTACACATTTTTCTTGGATTTGTTAACACTATAGTCCCTAATATATTTGTAGAAAGGCAGGAAATGGAATTAAATCGAGAATGTTTCATTGCGGAGGACCCCCTGTCTTGTGTCCCCCCCACTTCTCAAACCAAAGTTACACGTGTGTGTGTGTGTGTGTGTGTGTGTGTGTGTGTGTGTGTGTGTGTGTGTGTGTGTGTGTGTGTGTGTGTGTGTGTGTGTGTGTGTGTGTGTGTCTGGGGTTGGGCTGTTGTTAAGGTTTTGGCAACACAATATTTGTATTGCACTTAACATTTAATTAAACAGAGAACTTCTTCCACTTCCATTTTGTGCTTTATTTCTGCTAATGTACAAACCAGGCTTGCAAAGAACTTGAATAACATTTCCTTTTATTTCTTTGACAATATAATGTAGAGCTGATCCTGCTGAACAAAAAAGCGTAAGTATGATAAACCACCCCCTGTGTGTTATGTAGCTTTTTCTGCATGTAAACGGTCTGAGGCTGAGTTTCGCGGTGTCTCGCTGTCTCGCAGACCCCACGCAGCAACCAGGAAACGACACCAGTAATACAGCTCACACTGTCGGCTCCTCGAGTCTCAAAGGGTGGACCAGCGAGCACCGCAACGTCCCGCCAAAACGGCACCCAGACCCCATGCAGCATTCTCATCTGTTTGTCATTACTGGTGTCATTTTCTGGTTGCTAACAAACGCCATTGTAACACATAAACACTGATGTTCCGCTGTAACGGTGGTGGACTCATCAGAACAGAGTGGGCGAGCTGACCAATCAGAGCACAGTGGGCTCATAGGGAGGCGGGCAGGAGCTCCAACAAGCCGTTTAGGACAGAGAGTGAATACACATACTATACAGAGATGCTGGATGAGAAAACCAATGTGATTTTGGAAAATGTAACAATGTAAATCTATTCTAGTGGACCTCATCAATGGAATTATGATCAGTAGAAATGGCCATGACATGTACCTTTAATGGTTAATTGCAGCCTTGATTTAAACATGCAAATCCCAGGTCTTGATTGACTTCTTGCACTATTTTTTATTTTTACATTTGTTTTATTGTTTTATGTCTTATTATATATTATGTTGCATTGTTGGAGGAGCTTGGGACTTGAGTTCTTCATTGCCACATCTCCACTGTAGCTGTGCATCTGACAATAAAGCTTTGAATCTTTGAATGTACAGTCTCTCTCAGTGTATCGCCTGTTTGGACGTTCTCCTCGGTCGTACTTTCATCCTCTCCTCCACTGTCCTGCATCCTTTAAAGCAGAAATGCGTCCGGATTTTCCCGCGGAACTTCTTGTCTCTGAGGCCGTAGATGAGAGGGCTGAGAAGACGAGGAAGAACGTTGGTGAAGAGGAAGGTGCTGAAGAAGATGTCTGTTCTCTTGTGGGGCCAATTGGTGACGAGGATGAGGTCGATGAAGGGCGAGATGAAGGACAGCAGGCAGAGGAGCAGCTGGACCCTGTGGAGCAGGATGGTGTTTCGGGCGTTTCTCATCGAGGCTCGACTCACACCTGAAACCCCCCGAGCTGCGAGGAGCACGTTCAGATAGGTGAAGACCACCGTGAGGAAGACGAAGGAGAACAGGAGCACCTGAGGAGGAAGAGGGGAGTACTTATTAACAGAGATGGCAAAAGAACACACATCCTTTACTCAAGGAGAAGTACAGATACTCATGTTTAAAAATACTCTGGTAAAAGTAGAAGTACTGACTAAACTTCTTTACTCAAGTAAAAGTAAAGAACTATGGGCTTCGAAATGTACTTAAGTAAAAAGTACCCATGAGGATCCTGCTGACGCTGTCAACCCGATCCAGGCTGTTTCTTCCTCATTACGGCTGGCTCTTCCAGAGATATTCTCCGGAGACTCCATGAACTGCAGAGCCTTCCTCGTGCAGTGCGATCTGCATTTCCAACACAACCCAGGGGCTTTTTCATCAGACCATGGTAAAGTGGCGTTTATCGTGTCCCATTTAACGGGAAGAGCTGCAGCCTGGGCTACTGCAGAATGGTCCAGAGCTTGGCTATTCATTAGCCGACTTCATAGACACTATGAGTTGCATATTTGACCACTCGTCGCCTGCTACAGAGGCCAGCAGAAGACTTCTTCAGATGCGCCAGCACAACCGTCAGGTGGTTGATTATGCCATCGAGTTTCGCACTGCGGCAGCGGACAGCGGGTGGAATATTCCGGCTCTTCATGACGCTTTTATGACTGGACTTTCAGATCCAATAAAGAACCAGCTGGCTCCTCTGGAGGTGCAACGGGACCTGGAGTCTCTCATCGCTGCGTCCATCCGGATCGACAACCGACTTCGGTAAAGGGAGAGAGATCGCCGGCGCACCGGTGACAGACATCCCAGTTTCCAGGGCTTCCCTCAGAGAACCCTTCCACCCAGTGTGAGAAAAAGTTTTTAGAGAGTACTTGTCCATGGACAAGTGAGTTTGGCAATTTACTTGTCCGAATACATTTTTCACTTGTCCAGAATGGACAAAAATTGGGGCCACTGGAATCTTCTTCTTCGCCAACGTATTTTACTTTTCCCCACGATTTTTACGTCACCGCTAACGTAAGTGAGCGGTAATATTTTACTGCATCACACATACCTAGGGTTGGGTATAGTTTGGATTTTAACGATTCCGGTTCTGCTTTTCGATTCCGGTTATTTTCGGTTCTCGATTCCGGTTCTTTGAGAGGGTAAAAATAAGTCCCATGACAAACTGGGAGAAAAACATATTTATGAAAACATTAAGTCAAATCTGTATTCATATTTAGAAATCACTTCATACTGTTTAATTTCTTACGGTTATTGAATACAATTATATAAAAATAATCTCTGCATTGTTTAGTTAGTTCAATGTGGTGCAGTTTGAGAATGTACAATTGGCCCAGTCTCCTCTGATGTTACACTGCAACCTGCCTGTGAGACAGAGTCCAACCACACATGTCCAACACATAGGCCTAATAATAATAATACATTATATTTATAGCCTATAGGCCTAGCGCTTTTCTACAACTCAAAGACGCTTGCATGCTTACACATGTCCTGCAATACACATGCTGCAGCTGCCCAGCTGCTCACTGTTTGTAAAAGTAAATAAATACTATTTTCATTTCAATAATGTATTTTCTATACCCTGCTTCATAAACAATACTGACATCCCTGTGCTCCTCCGAGTCTGGGGGTCGGGGATGTGAGGACAGCGCGAGGACACAGACAGGGAGGCTGCTTTACTTCATAAAGGAAATGGCGTCAATATTAACAACGTAGGAGCTAAAACGCGTAATAACCTTCATTACGTGTTAAAGAAAGAACATAAGAAAGTTTGACAAAGATTAGGCTGTTAAACGGGCAGCGGGTCCACTGTGTGTAGAAAGAGAGAGGGAGAGAGAGAGACGCTGAACTGCACCGTGCAGCGATCAGATGATCCGGAGCAGAGAGAGAGAGCTGCGGTCCGCGGGGCTCGGCCTTCTGTCCTCACAACTCTTATTAATCCCGGTACCGGACAATTGTTATTTGTTCCTACTCGGAACCGAGTTTTGCTTCCCAACCCTGCCACTGTGCTACACGTCCCGCACTGCCCCGCCCCCGTCTAACAGTACAGAAAGCGGCGAGATGCATTTCCTTAGGAATCGACAAGCAGAACCGAAACTAACATTTCTAAACGAACAATGGCGGACACGGACAATTTGCGAATGAGTTCTGCATTTTGTAAACTGAGTTTATCAATAATTTGTCAATAAATGAGGGCTAAAAACGTCACTTGTCCGCTGGACAAGTCAATTGAAAGATCTACTTGTCCGACATTGTAAATAACACATCCCGGGCGGTGGGACGGGTGCTTTTTCGCACACTGCCACCAGGAAGAATTTTCCAGCCCACGACTTCGGACCACCGGAGGACACCGCCTCCGCTTGACTCAGACGAACCCATGTAGCTGGGCAGGACCAGGCTTTCTCTGGAGGAGAGGCAGCGCCGTCTGCGGGAGGGCTGCTGTTTCTACTGTGGCCAGCTGGATCACTAACTCGCCTCATGTCCGGGAAAAGACCGAGCTTACCAGCCAAGAGGAGCTTTCCACAGACTTTCCTCCTCGTCCCGTTACCCAGGTAAACATTTTCATAAACAATCAGGCCATTGACCAAGGGGTGCTAATAGACTCATTGGCTGACGAAAGTCTTATGGACTGGGGCATAGTTAAACAGCTAAAGATAAAAACTGATCCGCTATCTCGCCCTATTAACGCCAGTGCCTTAGACGGTCGTCTTTTGTTCACAGCCTATTCAGATCACTGTCAATCAGGACCACACAGGGTGCTCAGCACCCGATTATTTTGGGTTTCCCATGGCTAAAGATCCACAACCCACACATTGACTGGCGCTCCGGGGAAATTAAGGAGTGGGGGGAGGATTGTATTAACAGATGTAACAGAAAAAGGTTCCTATTTCTGATTGGCTGGGCCGAATGCAAACCACGCCCCGTAAAAAAAAAGTGTTGTGAAGCCGCCATTTTATTATCCTCGCATTAACATTATTAGCATTAGCATTAGCATTAGCCCAGTGCACAAATGCAGAGAGACTAACTTATGGCAACACAAAAGAAAACATGGGAGCGGTGGAGATGAGGAGGTGTCAGCATTCTGGCGATTTACTCGGAAGGCTTCAGTAGAAGCTGCTGGGACTCCCAGCAGCTTCTACTGAAGCCAGTCCCCAACTCCGGGGACTTCGGGTGGCAGTATACGCCGTGAAGTTGTTTGCGGCCTGCCAGTAAACCCAAAGCAGAAGAAGAAGAAGTGACGTCAGCGGCTTCATTTGCCTAATCCTCCCTCAGGGACTTATTCCGGTGTGAACGCGATCTGTACTTAGTTCATGAGAACTAAAGAGTTCTCATGAACTAAGTTCTGATGAACCTTTGTGGGAAAAATACTGCTGTGTGAAAGCACCTAATGAGTACTTGGTAATGCCTTTTGGACTGTGCAATGCACCGGCTGTGTTTCAGGCTTTTGTGAATGAGGTTTTGCGGGAGTTTTTTAATGTTTCTGTGTTTGTGTATCTTGATGATATTTAGATTTTCTCCCCGGACGCTAAGACCCATGTTAACCATGTCCGTCAGGTTCTGCAGAAACTGCTTGAAAATTATTTGTACGTCAAGGCAGAAAAATGTGAGTTCCATGCAGAAACAGTGTCCTTCTGAGGATACATAAACTCACCTAATCAGATACAGATGGATCCTGCCAAAGTCAGTGCAGTTTCCAATTGGCCAACACCAGACTCCAGGAAAAAGGTTCAGCAAATTCTAGGGTTTGCAAACTTCTATAGGAAGTTTATAAGAAACTTCAGTTCTGTTGCTGCCCCTCTGCATGTTCTCACTTCTCCAAAGGTTCCCTTCAAATGGACTCCCCAGGCTGACGTCGCCTTCCAGCGCCTCAGGGAAAGGTTCACCACAGCTCCCATACTCACCATTCCGGATTCCCAGTGCCAGTTTGTGGTCAAGGTCGATGCTTCCAATGAGGGGATTGGAGGGGTGTTGTCTCAAAGATCTGTGGAAGACAACAAGATGCACCCGTGTGCCTACCTGTCGCGTAAGTTGACTACAGCTGAGAAAAACTACGATGTGGGAAATAAAGAACTGTTAGCAGTTAAAGCGGCCCTCGAGGAATGGAGACACTGGTTACAGGGGGCAGAGCAGCCTTTCTTAGTCTGGACAGACCATAAAAACCTTCTGGTTCTGGTGGCCAGCCATGAAGAAAGATGTGGCGGAGTATGTAGCGGCTTGTCCTGTGTGTGCTCGGAATAAGACCTCGTCCCAGGTCAAGATGGGCTTGCTTCAGCCGTTGCCGGTTCCCCAACGTCCCTGGTCACACATTTCAATGGACTTTGTGACAGGACTCCCATCATCCAGAGGCAATACTACAGTCCTGACAGTAGTGGACCGGTTCTCCAAGATGGCTCATTTCATTCCCCTAACCAAGCTTCCCTCTGCCAAGGGTACCGCAGAGGTCATGATGAACGACATATTCAGGATCCATGGGTTTCCTAGTGACATTTTTTCGGACAGGGAAACCGACAGTTTATTTCCGCATTCTGGAAGGAGTTTTGCCGGCTCATAGGCGCCAATGTCAGCATGTCATCAGGCTATCACCCTCAATCCAATGGACAGTCGGAGCGTCTGAACCAGGAACTGGAGACTACTATACGCTGTCTTGTCTACCAGAACCAGACCACCTGTAGCGACCACCTCACATGGGTTGAATTTGCCCACAATACTCTCCCCACGGCGGCCACAGGTCTCTCTCCTTTCCATTGTGCCAATGGCTACCAGCCTTCGCTGTTTTCAGCCAACGAAGGAGAAGTAACGGTACCATCGGTCAATGCCATGATTAGATGCTGTCGCCGAATCTGGGATGGTGCTCGCCAGTCCCTACTCAGAAGTTCGGCTCAGATGAAGGCTGTAGCAGACGTCCATCGCAGGGCCGCTCCTCTGTCTCTGTGTTCCCTCCTGCCTGATTGCCCGATTGTGTTCACCTGGTGCCCCTGTGTTTTCTCCTCCCTCCTCACCTGTGTCTTGTTTGTGTGATTGGTCTTGTGTGTATTTT